TTTTTTCTCTCTCTCTCTCTCTCTCTCTCTCTCTCTCTCTCTCTCTCTCTCTCTCTCTCTCTCTCTCTCTCTCTCTCTCTCCTCTTTTTTTTGTACAGTTTTCCAGCATTTGCAGAAATAGAAACATTCTCTGGTGGACACTTGGTAGCATCGAATCGCCATCATCGAAGGTATTCGACGGACGATGGTGTTTGCATTACTACGTCACCTTCTAAATGGCCCGGTGTGACTAACTTACGTGCATTGTTGGCTCGAGAGAAAGACGAAGACATACCAAAATTGAATATTCTGCTTTGCGAAGCTTTTGTGGCAACATACATGAGTTTGTTCGTTTATGCACTGTGGAGTTGCGACAGTCATATTCTTTATAGGCTCGTAGGTCAACACTTTGACAATAACACCTGGTCTTGTTTGTTTGGCGGTGGAGTGAAAAAATTGCTACGTGTCGCAAGTACAAGTAGCCAGGTATAATTTTATTTTTATTCTCCTCTCCTGTGTATCATAAATTTTATTTAATTTATAGAGTACTACTAAAATATTTATTACATCTTTATTAAATATTAAATAAACGAACAAAGAAGAACAGAGAAAGAAAAATCATCTGAGTCGTGAAAATTGTGATTTTATCTGTACGTGATAGACTGTATTACAATGTATGTAATTCTAATTTATTCAGGCGAGTGGAGCAGGAAGAACGATAGAAAGAGGTGATAGTGCTTCGAACGAAATACAAAGTACTGCAGGGACTGTGTGGAACACCATGACCTCATTAACCAAACAACGTGTAAAATTGAATATGAAATTATTAGGCCAATTTACGGGCCAACAACCAAATATGAAAGAAGACAAACCTACATATAGAGAACAATTTGTTTCACCTCAAATGAGCATGATATCATATTTTTTAATGAAGGCGAGTAAATTGACTATGAATAACTTAATGCGTACCAGTAGATAGTTAATTTTATGTGATCTGATTATAAAAGTTGTTTTCTTCGTTTAATACAGCCACAAATAGATAGTGAGTATGCGGATGAAATTGATTACGATTCGTCCGATTCTGCAGTATCGGACTTGGATTCCTCCGAGGATGAGGAAGACGTATTTGACACTAATTCAAAACCAAAGAGCAAACCAAAAGACAATACGGAACATACGAATCCAAATTCATATAGCTGGTGTGTTATGCGGTTAGCCATAGTTAAGATACTGCAGCAGCAACTCCAAGAGTTTCTGAACATTGCTGGAATAGAGATGCAAGGTATTTCGTTTTGATGTTTGACAGAGAATATCGAACGTCGGACAATTTCTTTTAGACTGAAAAACTAGAAGGTATAATATACATTTTTTTGTCTTGTTCATGCATGTATGTACAGAATTACCTGTGAATAGTCCTTTGATTCACGGTACGTTAGCTGTTGTGGCACAATGGCAAGAAACATTGCGCGAAGAGTTAGATAATAGAGGACCACCGCCAATCAATTACATTCCTGGTTGTGCACCAGATCCAACGCCTACACCAGGAAAGCCAGCAATTCATAAATACCGGTCTTTACTTGAGAAAAGCAATACTCCTTTCAAGTAAGACTGCAAATCCAATGTCAAACATATACAATATTTATTGCAATGTATAATGCCTCTGATGTAATATTTTACCGAGGTTTCGCTTTTTTATACGTAGTACACGTTTGGCATCAGCAGCTCCTGCTAACCGACTATGGTGTTATTTAGTCCGACAAGAGTTGGTACAAGAAATTTTTATCCGAGCCGTATTCGGCAAACGTAGATCTTTATCGTCAATTTTGGAGAGCAATCAGGCTACGATTGATAATTTGAATCGTGGAACAACTGCAGATGACAAAGGTAGCGACAGCGGAACTACTAGTTTGCCAGAACCTGTTCGTATTATTCACAAGGAACAAGATAGCATTAGTGCCTTTTGCCTTAATCAGGTTTGATTTGTCTACTTTTATTTATTTTAAATACGTACAGTTTGACTTAGAAAAAGATGAAAATTGCTGACATACAATTGATAATTCAGGTGAATCCAGGTTTAATGGCCTTGGCAACTCCTCGAGAAGTGCAAGAAATGAATATATCGCTATTACTCGAACTCCCATCTTGGTTGGAAGACGAATGTGAATTTGACATTATAAATTTAAACAAACAACCAGAACCGGAATCAGTACCACCAACTAGTTTTTTAGTTATTCAGGTAAACAATTAGTTGCACATATAATTTATAATAATATTTTCTCTCATCGAAAATCTGACTCTCTTTCTCTCTCTCTTTCTCTCTTGTGTATTCATATATGTATACACATTTGTTTTTCATTTTTGTTATAGACAGCAGCAGATAGGCCGTTGCTTGCTCAAAGTCCACAAACAAATAATCCGCCGCCTCAATCGGGTATTGCGAGTCAAAGTGGAAGAGGAGCTAGCGTGGTAAGTTTTCTCCAATATCACATATACGAAAAATCTAATTCGTGTATTTAAATATCCAGCACTGTACAGTCGTATATTTGTCTTCTAAAACACTTACATCTTTACTTGTTTTGTATCCCTTACTCGGACTTAACCCAGATGTTTCTGATTTACTATCCGATGTTTCTTTTTTCCATGTGTACATATACATCCATGCGTTGTTCGGAATAAATAACGGGGGAAAGTGGAGGGGTAGGGGAGGGGGAGGAAAAGAAAAAAGGGTAAGGAAGTAACAAGTCCGTGCGTTTGCGCTAACGCTAACGCTAACGCTAACGTAATACATATGTTTCAGGAATGTTTGGGTTAAAGGAAAATTGAGCGAAATAATAACGTATAAAATTGAGAAAATTGAACGTACAATTTTCTCGATTTCTTTTTCCTTAAACATTTTTGTTCTGCTTTCATTTTCATTTACTTACAATTAGAATTACTATCAAATTATTAAATGGAAGATTAAAATTTCCATCTGAACAAAAGTTTTGGGCGCAATTTTTCTTTTCTTTTCCGGAAAATTGAAGCTGTATATTACTAACATTTAAAATCTGTAAGAAAGCATATCTTCGGGATCAGAAAAAAAAATCAGTCTGATATATTTCTCTTAACGTCTGTTTTTTTTTTTTCTTTCTTTGTGTTTTTCAAATTGAATAAATTTTGTATTTGACGAGCAGAGTTGCACAACAACGAACATCTATATTAACTGTTCGAATGTTTGGATCTGATCATTTGCTCATGAAATTTAATATCCTGATACCATTAACGATATTATATTGTTATATACATACACTGTCACGTTTATTTCATTCTCAAGTTTATATATGTAAGTAAACAGCGAATTCTGATACTTGATTTAAATATGACTCAAAATATGAATAATGAATTTGATGAACAACTTTGCTTGAGCGAGATTTGTGATCCAAATAGATGCAGGTTGTAATTGTAGGTGTTAAAAAGTATAATAGGTATATACATATATACTTCTTATTCAGTGTTACTTAAGAGATTCAAAGAAACTGGTCGTTGCATGATATATGATCAATGAAACAAAAATTTGCACCATAAATCACCTTTCTTAAAAAAAAAAAAAAAAAACACGCGCTCGGAAGACGGCCATCTCGAGATTTGCTTCTTGCGATAGCGCAGAAATTTCAAAGTTGTTTAATGAATTAGAGACGGGTAACGGGGCAGGAGGGAGGAATACGTACAAGGAATTAGTAGACGAAAAATTCGAATGGAAATCAAATTACGGAGAAAGAAAAGTAATAAAAATTCGTAAGAAGGAAGTGTCGATTGCCGTAAATGTGTTGATGTCAAGTAGCCGACGCATTGGGTCGCGTCAAAGTAGCACATTTGGTGACAGAAACAATGTTCCTTGTTCAATGCTTGCCTAACGTCTAACTTGGTTTGCGTCTGACTGACGTCATTGACCTGGTGGCTCGTTCGTTCGCTCAGATGAAGGGGATGCCCGCTTTCCCTGGCTCCCACGACCTGCGTTTCTGTCAATTTGTTGCCGATAGAAGCAAACACTTGTTGCAACCGGTGAGATTAACTTCTAACAGACCCTAGCCTGTATGATATCCTATTATTCCTAGCGCCAACTCTATATTCTCATTCCTTTTCTATTATTATTATTTTTTTTTTTTCATTCGTTTTGTTTTCATTTTAATTTTTCGACTTTTATTTTTTTCTTTCGTTTCATTTCATTTCACTTCATATCATTCATTTCATTCACGCCTTTTCTCTTTCTTTTTTTTATTCTTTATTCTTTTTTCTATATCATTTACGCTCTGCTTCGTAATATCCTGAGCGTTATAAACGTAACATACTATCACAAAACGAAGTTACCGCCATTTTCTGAAACGAATTAAAAGTTTGTAGATTTGGTCAGTTATTATTATTATTATTATTATTATTATTATTATTGTTGTTATTATTATTATTATTATTATTGTTATTATTATTATTATATGTTTTATATTTACATGAAGTTTTATTCATAAAAATTTAATTGCAAATATAATTTTTGCAATTTGTCTCACAAAATTAAACTTTTTCGGGATAAGTTTAATGTTATTATATAATAAATAAACGTACCTACATCTAACTTGTTACTACGATTTCTCTCTCTCTCTCTCTCTCTCTCTCTCTCTCTCTCTCTCTCTCTCTCTCTCTCTCTCTCTCTACCTGATAAAGTTCGAAAGAATTTACTTAATATAAGCATATCGACATATAAGCGAAGATTAATCTTCTACTTTCGAGTAGGTTGCAATCGTATAAACGAAATGAACGTTATCGCTACTGGATTTTACGAGGGAGCGTCTGTTTTTTGATACTATGCAAACAAGTAATTAAGGCATACATTTCACATATTCTCGAACATTGTTAATTATTATCATTATGAGCGTTAGTGTTAAATTTTTAATTATAATATTATTATTATTTTGTTCGTCATGGACATTGTCGTCGTGGTCATCGCTATCACCATCACCATCACCATCACCACCACTACTACCACCATCATCACCATCGTCGTTATCGTCATTATTATTATTTATTATCATCATTAGCTTCACTACTATCGCCACCAGCACTACCACTACTACAATCATAACTATTACCATCATCATCATCATCATCATTATCATCATCATCATCATCTATTATATCAACTATTTTACAGTAAATGAAAATATTCAGTAAATTGTTACATATTACATTGAGTTTTCAATTTGTCAAGGATTAAATTTTTAGAGAAATAAATGTTTCTTCCCCCAAGGCAATCTCGATATTTATTCGTATGTTATCAAAACGATATTGTGAATTTACTGTAAATGAGCAAAGCCGATCGATGAAACTTTCCGATTCTCAAATTTTTCTTTCGTAACACTGCATGCCTGATGAATACTTATTTCGTGTATAAAAACCTCAGCGAAGAATTTATACCTTTTTGATTGCCGTTGTTCTGAATGTCGTCTGTAGTATTTAATAAGTTATTATGCTTTCCTTCAGATTATTTATACACTTTAGGCAGAGATCAAGCATTTTTATCCAAATCCAAGACGATGGGTTCGCTAGCTTTCATTTTGAAATTAATTTCAAATTGTGGCAATTTTAGTAATTCTATTTAGTAATTCCTCCCTCGTCCTTTAGAGTTCTTCAAAGAATCCTTGCTAATGATGTAGTTAGCATTTGATATGCGCTCATCCTCCACGCGCATAACAAGAAATTATGAAAATGCGAAAACTATAAAACATTTGAAAGCTAGTGGACTCAAGAAGATTACCGACCCACGTTAGATCGAATTAAACGAACGCTTTTTAAACATATATAAACGTATATTCCTCGACTCGAATGAAATAAAAAATCAAGTGTCAAGAGTAGACTGAAGTAAAAAATGATGTATCCGCTGATGTAATCGTGCAAAAAGCGATCGTTTAATATTAGGTTTTAGCTTCGTCCGAATTAGCGAGAAAAAAGGAGCAGTATTAAAGAACTTGATAGCATGCGTTTATGAAACGTACAACCAGGCTGATTGCATTTAATAATAAGTTCTATATAGTAAGTTTTATGATATACATATATATATATATATATATATATTAGCATTAAAGCGTTCATCTACCGTTTTCTCTATTACCTTTCATTGTATTTTGATACATGTGCGTTAAAGTTTATAGAGTTACATTAGAGTTTCCACTTTTTTTCTTTCTTTTTTTTTTTTTTTTTTTTTTTTTTTTTTTTTTTTTTTTTTTTTTTTTTTTTTTTTTTTTATTTTAATTTATATATATGTGCGTACTGTCTGTAAATAATTGTATATCGATAATTATAAGACTTTTATTTACATAATAACACGTAACATTTTGTTCGCACAGATTCTGAAGCATAAAATCGATGGCATAAGAAGGATTTCTTCGCATCCGCTTTTACCATTATGTAAGCACACTACGTATTTACTTTCGAATAATTAAAAATGAAATCACGTCGTATCACATATATATATATATATACACACACACACATATGCAAAGCGTTTATTTTTATATTATTTTAATCTAAATTTAAATTTATGAAAATATTTATTCCGTATAATCACGTACAATTCATTTTTAATATTTCAAATGAAATTCCAAACGATTAAATATTTTACAAATGCTGCCAGACTTGTTTGTTAATCGATACTCGTCGATATGTGAATAAACAGATTTGACTGGCTGTCAAGATGGTTCGGTGTCCCTTTGGGAATGGGGACATCAAACGGCGGTAGCGACTCCTCGACCACCGGGTACTTTTGCCAAAGTGACCCGTGTACGTTTCTCACAGCATGGGAATAAGTTTGGTGTTGCGGATTCTGATGGACATTTGAGTTTGTTTCAAGTAGCCTGCAGAGAAGGAACTGCGCGACCATTCTTTGTAAGAATTTATTTTGTACACACACACACACACAGTTGAACGTAACCGTCTATTGTTGTACAATAGACGTAAAATGAATTTGAACTAATTGAGAACAACTTGTCTCGTTTGTTCCGACAGAATTATCAGTGCCATAGCAAGGTGACGGCCGATTTCGTCTTCCTTGGGGCGTGCAGCTTAATAGCAACCGCTGGTCATGGTTCCGAAGGGCGTAATGTTGCGCTTTGGGATACTTTACTTCCACAAAATAAATCTCTCATCCAAGGTGCGTGCTTGACTTCTTCCCGTGATTTACAGTGGCTCATCCAAATTACGTAATGATCATCGCAAAGAAATTGTTTGCCTATTTACGCTTCCTCTTCATTAGGTTTCACCTGTCACGAACAAGGAGCTAGCTCGTTGATACTTGCACCCCAACATCAGCTATTAATCAGTGGTGGAAAGAAAGGTGATATTAATATATTTGACGTTCGACAACGACAGCAACGTCATCGCTTTCAAGCTCACGAGTCGGCTATCAAATGCTTAGCTCTTGATCCGCATGAAGAATTTTTCGTAAGTGGAGCAGGAGATGGTGATATTAAGGTGATGTATTTTAAAATTATATTTACCGTGTGTAGAAATATAAACGCGATAAGAATAATTTCTATCAATCATTTTATTGATCTTTTTCCATCAGATATGGGGTTTAACCGTCCATTCTCTGCTTTACTCTTTTCCCGGAGAGCATCCACGATCTAGTTTCTTTAAAAACATTGGACAAGTATGTTGATCATCACAACGTTATTTACATCTGCTTAGATTTTGTTTCAACAAATTACTTTCTTTCAGGGTGTAACGCAATTACACGTCGATTCTGCCGGTCGTTTATTTTCATGTGGTGCAGATGGATCTATGAAAGTTCGTCAACTACCAGAACGCGATTGCGTCGTACATACTTTATATTAAAGTAGTCCAAAAACATAGTGAAATTTCGTTAGAACAATACTTGAACACTCAGTCTATTTGCCTAGAAAATAACTGCAAACTAAACGTTCGTAATTACTAGATATGCGGATACGTACCTCGTTAACTTCCTCTTCATTCTCTCTCTCTCTCTCTCTCTCTCTCTCTCTCTCTCTCTCTCTCTCTCTCTCTCTCTCTCTCTCTCTCTCTCTCATGTTCAAAGAACGAATGGTTACGCTAAAATAATGATAAAAATTTCGATAAAAAGAAAAAAGAAAAGAGAGAGAAGAGCTAAACAAGTTATCAAATTATTACATATAAACCTGAATATATTATAGGCGTTAAAAGGATAAGGTAGTCGTCGATATCTCAATTTATTTACTAGCAAAATGTTGCTTTTTCCCATCTATCGCTTATTGAAAGTAGAATGAAATGTTTTGCAAGTAGACGTTATCTTGTTACTCGCAGATTCTATGAAACACGTTTACGCGAATCCATAAAATGATAATTTTTCATTTTATTTTCTTGTTTTTTCAGAAACTAGCTAGTTATTATTCCTTTGCGGGATGTAGTACATTTCTATAAAAACATATAAAATTGGAAAAATCGACCGAAACTAATAAAATTGTTAATAATAGGTATTGAAAAGTTTATACATTATGTTGCTTTTACATTCGCAATTTACATTTAGTATTGTGTGTGATTGACGTTTTGCCAATGGGCACGAACGTTTCCGTATTTGTTTACATTGTGGCGAGATACATTTTTAAAAGTCCTTTTTGTGTAAAAAAAATACTTAACACGAATATTAAATTATATATTATTCTATAAGTATGTAAATTGACATAACGAAAATATAGAACAGTTAATGATCATCGTATAATTTGTATATACGATATAAAGTATTAAAAAAAAAAAGAAAAGAAAGGAAAGTAGAAGAATGTAACGGGACTAAGTAAAGGAAGGAAAAAGTGAGAGATAACGTATTTATATATATATATAAATTACGCATTGTCGTAAAACGAAAGTATTTGTGAAATATAATTTCATCTAAAACATATTTCCTTCTGTTTTTGGTTTTAACCAAATTGGTATTTATCTTACCATCGTGAATATATCTTTTGACGTAATAGTTCATGTAAGATATAATCAGTGTAAGAAATATATATAAAATGATTAACAAAATTTGATCGTAATCATTTTACACATTGTATTATATACGTGTTTCATTTATTTCTTTTTCGTATCAATATAGTTTATTACTATGCGTATCATCTTCCACAAGAAATTGCTAATCATTAAATAAATGCCAAATTATAATTGTTAGAGAACTTTGTAGAGAATTTGAATGTTCTCTTCCAAAAACGTGTTAAAGCAAAATTGGGCTGAAATTTTGGAAATAGCTTTACATATTTTGCATAGAAACAAAGCAAATGCAGTCTTCGTACGATTTTTGCTCTGCTGCAACTCTATTTTCGAGGATGCCATGGTTCGCCATAGTTCCCGGTAGATAGCATTAGAATACCTGATTCTGTAGCGACCTATAGTTCCTCGAGTACGAGTTTCGAACACTAACTTATCAAGCCGCAAGTGGCTGTGCGCCTAGCGTCGAAGTTAATCGATACTCGATGTTAAGCAAACAAAGTGCGGAACACCGCTAGGATGAGTAACCAGCCTAGCGAATAGTTACAACAACAAGCGTCTGGAGTAAGAGGAGTCGCTGCCATCAGCCCCACTGATGAGTCTAAGAAGCGACTCTGAGACGAGAAAACGCACCTTTCCTCACCTTATCCACATTACCACTTCCTACATTATCCTCGCATTATCATCGACACTTTCAATCTCTTCAATTCTGTAGTGATTATGATAATTTAAATTTATATCACAATACTACAAATAAATAATAACTCCGTAATTAATTTTAGTTGTTTATATAAAAATATTATCAATATCACAAAATATATAATTACTAATAATTTAATGAAGATTACATAATGGAAGTTAAATAACGAATAATTTCTACGAATGAAAGTTAAATAACGAATGAAGAATTTCTACTATGGCTACAATATATATCAGTGTCAGTAAACATTTCCATGGTGATAATAAAATTAATAGCTATTTTTAAGTATTCTATTGTTTATATTAAATACACATCTCGACGGAACGATTTAATGAACATAGATGTTGTTGATCTAAATTTTTCGAAGTAGAGGTCGCGACAATTCGTGTCTGGATTTAATTCTCTCGTTGACAACATTTTATCTAAACTTTCATGAATAAGAGTGAATAAAAAATATTTGTTTAATTTAACAAATTTTTAATTTAACAAATTAAAAAATAAATGATTCGTTGTTTCGTTGCACGGAATCATTGTTTCAACCATTTGTACCATAATACGAATAGAGAGGCACAATATTTTCGATTATAAGATAGATTATTTATAATTTAATAGAAAAATTAATTTTTCATTCAAACATATTCAAAAATAATTCATTATTATATTAAATCATAAATATTCAATACGTAGATGCACAAAATCACAAATTGGTAAACAATATAATAAACAAATGTCTTGATCTCGTTTTATTTCTGAATATCAAGATTTAAATTATTAACATAAATACATTTATCTTGACGATACGTGCAATAATGCTAAACGTGAAATATCTAAGGTCGACAACGTTCCAAGAAACGTGGATAAAGGCATGCATCGCGTATATGATATCTGTTCAAAAGCCAACATAAAAATCTTTCGAGGCCTAATCCGAATCCGCCATGAGGGCAGGTCCCGTATTTTCGCTAAAGAAAAATTGTACAAAAAGTTAATAAAATTAATGTAAAACGATAAATATACTTCCAAGTATAAGAATCGATATTCACCTGATCAGTATACCAATAGTATGGCTTTGGGTCTATATTTGCGTTTGAATAGCCTTCCAACAAGTCATCGTAATGCCAAATACGCATTGAACCTCCAACTATCTCACCAACATTCGGTAAAAGCACGTCCACCGATTCTGTAAGACGCTTGTCATCAGCACAACGTTGCATATAGAATGACTTGATTTCAGCAGGAAATCTGCATAACATTATTGGTTCATTTATTGCGTCGGTCATTTTTCTCTCTGGCATTTCTGGAATGTCCTATAAATGAAAAAAATTACTACTCCTTTCCCCCCTTTTTTTCCACTCTTCCCTTTCAAATAAAACGAAGAATACAAATCTTGTAACAAAGTAATAATCAAATAATTTCATTGAGCATACTTCGCCAAATTCGTAAAATGTCCCATCGTCTTTGGTTATATTGTTAATTCGAAGATACTCGATCGCATCTTTGTAATCCATTCTTTTAAACGGTTTTTTTGGCATTTTAAAATCAGGATTTAATTCTTTGATTAAATAGCCAAGCTTTGATTTAAGGACACGATCAGTAACATCACATATCATATCTTCCAATCGATCTAGTAATTCTTCAAATGTGATAAATGCATATTCTGCCTCCACGTGTGTATATCTAAAAATTCAATGTTTTGTACGAGCTTGACTTGCACAATAATTATTTATTCGAGTCTTGTTAATGTTTACTCTGCAAGATGTCTCCGAGTCCGAGATTGTTCTGCTCTATAAGACTGTGTCATGCAGTATACATCACCCATTGCTGGAAGGCAAGTTTCTAAATAAAGCTGCGAACTTTGAGTCAAAAATGCTTCTTCTCTAAAACGAAAGACAGATTTGTAAATTGAATATTAAAAGTAAATTGTTCAACTTAATAAATAAGTATAAATTCAAATGAATGATATGCTTACCCAAAATAATCTAGTTTAAATAATGTTGAACCACCTTCTACCTGTGTTTGCACCAATGTTGGTGGTGTTACTTCAATGTAACCTCTCTCACTGAAATGATCTCTAAATGCTTTCATTAACACAGATCTCACAAGTAAAACGCTAGACGTCTAAAATAAATGAATTCATTGAATTGATTAGTTAGTCAAATGAAAATTAATATTTATTAATTTTCTTGTATTTTTAACAAATAACTTATTATACGAATTATCTTACATTTTCACCGCGAATCATAATATGTCTGTTGTCTAACTGCACGTCAGGAAGAGCTTCTTCGTTCAAAATGGAGTCTGCACCACCAGGAGGAGATGCTCCTATTAATCTCCAATAATCAACGTGTAATTCATGTCCATTTGGAGCCTAAAAAAGGATAAAATATTCAGAAATTTGGAAAGCTCTTGAATTACATACGACATATACATTTTTTCCTTCTGGTACAATCTTGAGAATTCCAAATACTTCAATAGAAGCTTCCGTAGATAAAGTCAATGCATCGTACGTTTGGCATAAAATGTTACTAAGTACACACTGCAAAAATCCTGTTCCATCCCTTAATGTGATAAACATAAGTGCTCTTCCTAAAAAATGTAAAATAATAATATTGAATTAACAACGACAAAGTGAATGTGTAATTCAAAATATTGGTTACAATAGCATTATATTGTACCTTGCCGTCTAAGCCTATGCACCCATCCAAAAAGTTTTATTCGCTGATCTCGATGATTAATACTATCTCGAATTTTTATACAAGTCGCAGGTGGCAAAGTAGTATCTTCTTGAATTACAACTGTCTTGGCTTCTTCCAAGTTTTTCAATCTCTTTTCTTCATCTTCCAACTGCTTCTTTTGCTTGTCTTCGCCCTTATGTTCCTTTTTATGCTTCCAAATTTTTTGTGCCTTTTTTAACTGCGATTTTGATACTATCGCATACTTCTCCCCATCCTCGTGAGAATCTTGATAAATTGCTGGAAATGGTTCTTTCCCTGCATAACGCATTGCTCTTAAAATGGTTTTAAAAGGATTTGATTCAGAGCCATCGCCTGTCTCGTCATTTCCGTGTTTTTGAGAGGTATAAATTGCATCTAAAAGAAAAAGATAAAACTTGTCTTTCCCCCCAAGAAATAGTATATGTATAAAAATTAATTTTAATTTTACTGAGGTCTTTTACTCTTAGGAAGTGATGCAATTTTACCCAATAACGACTCAGAAGACTCCACTGCCGGCATGTTACTGTTTAATGCACTTCCTGCTTTCTATTTTATTGTATTTGTTTCCTCTTTATTATTTACGTTGTAGCTGCGTTCTAATCGTGAAAAGTACAGGATTTACAGTATTTAAATATTTGAACTTTTCTGCGTGTCTTTTAAATTAGACTTAAGAACATACGTACATATGTTTATCTGATTTAATCTATCCAATGCGATATAGATTCTACAATATTTAGCAAAAATCTTTAACTTTGCTTATTTTACCTATTATTGAATAACGATTTTACATGCAATCCTGAATATGTTTCTATTGCATATTGTTTGCACATGCAATATGTACTATACACTTCTTATATGCTATATTGCACGAGAATATTATATTTTAACGTCATCGCGAGTGATGCGGAGATAGCTAACTAAATGGCCACCTTCACACCACGTCACGTCGCAAGTCAAATCTCGTCGCAACTCACATTTGTAAATCTCGAATTTGCATAATTATTATTAAAATATCATCTATTTATTTATATGCTTAAAAGTGAATACAGTAATTTTTACATTTTATCAATAATACATTTTAAACATAATGTAAAAATCAATTCTTTGTATAATTAAATGAAACGTAAAAATTAATTCTTTAAACTGTAATGATGCAGTTGTTCTTAAAAATCGTAATTTGCCCCATGTTACACTAGATTGCGCGACACGATGATCAGATTTTTGTATACGTGCTTCCCAACTATTCAAATGATATACATGGATGCCGATTTGGAGTCTGGAGTGGAAGAGAGCGTAAAGCCAATTGAATTTGAATAATTTTTAGAATGTACAGTTATAATTCTTGAAAATTCGTATCTTACATGATGGCGGGATTGGAAAGTTGTGAAAGAGTATATCGTGGAAAGCCTGATAGATCTTGGGAAAGTGAAAAAAATTTTCCATATATTTACCATGGGCAGGAGGTTATTCGTCCCTTGGATGTTCCTGTTGTGCATCCACTAGTTGAAGATAGTCCTCCCTCTGAAGGTCAGTTTTTGTAAAGTAAGAACATCTGTACATAAAATGTATCGAAACATAGTAAAAACATTTTGTTATTGTTTCGCGAATAAAGAAAAATTTCAATCCAAAATGATCAATATGATTGAAGGTAGATAACATTTTGTATTTCAGATGTCACTGTAAAAAAGTACATTGGTGCTTGTTGTGGATTAGCAACATTAATTACAGAAACCTTATTGGTTCATCCTCTTATTGTTTTAAGAAGACAATGTCAAGTAAATCCTGGATTGAATAAATATCATATAATACCAATTACTTTAGTACCTGTAGTCATACGTCTCCATCAAACTCAAGGCATAAATACATTATGGAAAGGAATCGGATCAGTTCTGCTTGTCAAGGGAATGTTGTTAGCTATTGAAGATTTTATTTCCAAAATAACACCGTGGCCAAAGTAAGGTGATCTTTATATGTGCAATAAATATTTTTTTTTCCATCTCAAGTATCACAGTAATAATAATTAATAATATATAATGATGATAACAATAGCAAAATATTTATTAATTTCAGAGAAATAACATGCAATAGTTCATTGAAGACATTCGGACAACACGTTCTTCTTAAATGGTAACACTATGTTAATACATATTAAAAGTTCTTTATTGTCAATTGACACCAGAGATTAATAGAAAATATAATAGTGTTTCTATAGGTTTAGTAACACCATTCTATTCTGCATCATTAGTAGAAACGGTACAATCTGAAATTGCATCTGAAAGTCCTGGAATATTAGATGTTTTCCGAGATGGTGCAATCCGTTTAGTCGAAGTGAGCAACAAAGGCAGATTAATTCCCATTTATTCTCTTCTGCCACCCACAATTGCTTATGGGGTATCTAAATATCTTTTCACTCTAGCTATTCAAGGGGTCACTAGTCGTATTATGCATATTAGGCAAAAACAGTCTCAAGAGATAAGAGTAAGTTTCAAAACATTGGTAATAGTTAAGTCAAAATATCAATATATCAATGAAAATATTTAGTTAGAATACTTATCAAATTATATATACTTACTATTGTTGTTGTTACTATCTTATTATTTATATGTTTGTCAAGGGTGCATATAGCAGAGACTTGTCAGAGACTATTGCACAAGATATAGAGTTACAATCATCACTGGTTTCTACGTTTATGGCTGAAGCGTTATTTTATCCTTGGGAAACAGTAATTCATAGACTTCACCTTCAGGGTACGCGAACTATCATCGACAATTTGGATACAGGACGTAGCGTGACACCATTATTAACAGGATATAGCGGTGCAAGCGATTGTTACAGTACGATTATATCTACTGAAGGTCCCCTTGGTCTATACAAAGGATTTGGTGCCCTTATTTTAGAATTTACCGTAAAAGTTGTGGTAGTACGCGTTATTAAATGGGTTCTGACAGAATTACAAACAGTACTAAGACCAAAACCAAAATTAACACGAGACACCTCGTCATATTGGTATTACAATGACACATAAAAAAAGCATTAACTTTTGTTTAGTAATACTTATCGTGTGTACTAATTATACTGTACTAAGTATACAGATTATACTATACTTAGTATAGTGTATGTATGTGCATATGTATATACATATATACATATACATACATACACATATATAGATATAGATGAAATTATTTCACTGTTGTGTTCTTTTTTTTCTTATTATTGTCAAATCATACCAATAATTTAATATTTTCAGTAATTTTGATCGTTTTGACCTTTTTTGGTATGTTGTTTGGTATATTGTTTTTATAATTATAATGAAACGAGTCGAATTTTCAAGTTATGTACATAAAATTTATGAAACTTAAATATATACATTAATGAGGAATAAAAGAATTTTAGAATTGCGTTATTGTAATATTTTGTAATCATGTATAGGCAAAAAGTATATTTATTTTACGAATCTTTTAGTGTAATTCATTTCATTTAAAATACTTACGTTTTAAGAATTGAAAACACTGTAAAGATGCAAGTTATAATACTATGGGAAATAATGAATGCATTAATTCATTATTTTTAGCTCTTAATAGTGGAAAAATAAATGTATCGATTCTGAAAACCAATATCACACAATATTTACTTTCAACATTTGTTTACAATTGTATATGTATACAGTTTCTTTTTTTAACTTGCATCATATATTACACAGCCTTTCATTTATACATCTAGTATACGTAAAATAAAATGAAACAATTTGAGGAAATATCTATCAACTAATGCTCAATAATTCTAAATCTTCAGGAAGTACATACGATTTCTAAAATTTTAATTTCTTTCCCATTTTATCTGATACATTATTAAAATGTACGACCTATATATATCAACACATTCATTTTTAATTTTAAAACTTAAACATAGCTTGTTTAATATGGTTTAATGTATCATAAAAACATTTTTTCCTAAATTCTTGTTCAAAGTGGTCTAATTATTTTGAAAAATAATTTCAAAATAAAAGAGAGTCTATTGAATCAATTTGATACGTTCTTACAGTTGTGTACAAGGTGTGTATTTGTGTAACAATACGTGATGAATTTGTACTAATTTCGTGTAATCTCGATTGTATAGTTATAATTGTTTTGCATACTTTAGTGCGATACATATGTCAATCATTTACAAATATATATATATATATATGTAAAATACACGATATTGTACAATACTTATGTATTGACAGATACTACTAATTTCGTTTTCTATCTGTTACAATAACGTGTAAAATAGACGCATAGATATCATAACTGTAAGATGCAAAAACATTGTATTCAATTTATTTTTTCATAATAGTCCAAGTGTTTTGTTTTTGATTTAAATGATTTCTCAATCTATTATAATTACAATGAAATTTTCGTTCACTTTTATAAGTGGAAATATGTATATACGCACGCATTTGTATATATTTAAAAACAATTCAATAACAAAATATTTGATATTGTTACAAATTGTTTGAACACAAAATAAATTACATGCCATAACTGATTCAATTTATCTGTATAAGTTAATACAGAATAATCATAACTGTAAAGTCTCTAGTATTATTTTCATTTCGACCTCTCTTGTCTTCAATGTAACCCCCCTATAGTGTTTCGTTAAAGACGCACATATTATGTACAAATTTGCATTAGATCGAAAACTATGATCGTAAGATACATTTTTGAACAATCTGTTCAAAAAATCGATCAAATGTGTGGTGCATCTTTAGTACGAATTATTTGTTAATTATGTATATGCTGAGCGTGTAATTCCTCCTCGGTAACATCACCTCTTCTGATATACTGTGGTTTTTCTTGTCCTCGTACACATCCTTCAGTTACATGGACAGTCATTACATCACTACCCGGCACTTCGAACATGGGTTCCAAAAGCAGTGATTCCATGATAGCTCGCAGTCCTCTTGCACCTGTTTTCTTTTCCATTGCTAATGATGCTATTGCATTTAAAGCCTCCGTGGTAAACGTCAATTCTACCTGTAAATACATGCGCAGACAACCCGAAAATATTAAATTACATACATATTGAGTAAATCTAACTGCACATTGTACAATGAAACTATTTAATTTGTACCTTATCCATCGAGAATAACATTTGATATTGAGGAACCATGGCATTTTGAGGCTCGGTAAGTATTCTAACGAGCATATCTTTATTGAGGGTGTGAAACGGCACCAAGACTGGAAATCGGCCAACAAATTCAGGAATCATACCAAAATCAATTAAATCTCTTGCTTCTACTTGTTGTAACAGCAAATCCTTCTCTTTGTTGTCTTTTTTCGTAGAAGATGACATGTTTGCAACATCTGCTAAATTTGCAGCTCTTCTCCCTGGACTCTCGGAAGATAGCGGCGCACCAAATCCCAGATACTTTTCAGTTTTACGCCGCAAAATCAATCTATCCAATCCGTTGTATGCGCCGGAAGCAACAAATAAAATGTTTGTAGTATCGACTTGCAACGTATCCCCGCGCAATTTTCTAGAGCTATTTTTTTCCGGTACGTTCACAATCGTACCCTCTAGCATTTTTAACATTCCCTGTTGGACACCTTCTCCACCAACATCCCGTAGTTGATGTATACCGGGAACAGCGCCAATTTTATCAACTTCGTCTAAGAACACAATACCCATTTGCGCTCTGTCCACTACGTAATTAGCATCCTGAAGTAATTTTGCGATAACACTTTCTATATCTTCACCGACGTATCCCGCTTGTGTCAGTGTTGTGCAATCACAAATTGCAAAAGGTACGTCCAGACATTGAGCTATTGTCTGCGCAAGTAGTGTTTTCCCACTACCAGTCGGACCAAGTAACAAGATGTTACTTTTTTCTAGTTTCAATTGATGCTGCTTACTATCGAGGATGTCAGATCCGGAAATTGATTGATTTTCAGTTGATTTATGTTCGTTTCCTGTAGGATATTGTTGGAATCCAACACCAAGTGAATTTCCGATCGTTGAAATATGTAATAAGTCTACGATACAACAGAGAACGAATATTATTCATCAAATAAAGTATTTACATGCAACTGGCTAGAAACTATGATGTAATACAAAATTATATTAGTATAAAATCTATTTAGAACTGAGTATTTAATTATTCTCAGTCAGACGTGTTATATCATGTTTCTATACTGGATTATGTACAAAATGGGGAAACTATTATTTACGTGGTTTAAGACCTCTATGAGTGAATGGATGATTCAAATCTTGTGTACCACTTGTATTCATAGAACCTTGCATTGAATTCTGCACTGGAAAGTTATTATAAATTCGTTTGTAGTGATTATAAACAGCAACGCTCAAAACTTTTTTGGCATATTCTTGACCTACAACATGTTTGTTTAGGTACTCAAAAATCTGAAAATAGCGATATATATATTAATACCTGATATATTATCAAGGTCTTTGTTATTTAGAACAAAAGTATTAGCCTGTAATATTGTCACATAAAGCCATTACCTTTTTTGGTGGAGGTGGTGGTTTTCTATAAAATCCTTGTTTCGTGTCATCTGGTCTTAAAGCTTCTTTGAGGCTTCTTTTTGAATCTACTTCTGATAGAACGACAAAAAAATGATGGCATTTCTCGCACTTAACAAACCTCGTTGATGCTGATGAAAAAGATGTTCTTGTACTATAGTTATTTCATGCAGGGAACCATATGATATTTACTTACACACAAAAGTTTCTACGTGTGTACAAGGATCGCCACATTTTGGACATGTAAGCGTGTTTTTCTTTCCTCCACCATTTCCAACGGATGACACACCACTACTGTTATCTTTATCTTTACCAGGTGGAGTGGGTTCAGAGGGTGCTTTTCCCAAAGTATTACCAACTGTCAATGATCTGATTACAGCCACTCTTACAATTTTGTGAACTAATAGAAAGAAGGAATTGCTTATATTCAAATTATAATAATGCGCTACTTAACATTCAAATGAACAGTCTCTGTACTTACCGTGATTTGTCACATGATTCGAAGATGCAATACGACAGGCATTGGTTAAGCAACAACGAACAGAACTCATGTTGGTCTGTTTTTCTTATGTAAAAAATGTAAGAAGTAAAAAAAAATGGTTTCGTACTAATTGTTGGATTCACTTGAGATGAGACCTAAATAAAAGCAAAATATATTAAAATATGATAGGTGTATGTTCTGTAAAAGGGAATTATGCACAGACAGTGTGAGTTCGTGTGCCGTCAATTTGTACAGCATATCAAGGGAAGATTGACTTTGAAATAAAAGGAGACGTTATAAAAGGAAATATGAACTGTATATAAATTTGGGCAGTTACCTAAATAGGCACGAAATATAAGTACATTGAGAATTCGACGCTTCTTTCATCGAGCAACGAACGATTATAATCATGATGACGAAAAAAATAAAATTGTTAAAAAAGAGGTATTGGTAACATCATCGGAATTTTGAAAAACGGAGTGATGCATCGGAGAGCAAAGTACGAGCACAGATGCAACGTCAATGTAAAAATAAACAATGGCAATTTCAAGTTAACGAAAGTACTAAAATATCGAAAATACTAACCTGACGAATAAACATTAACGCACAAATCGTTCGTTGTTACTCATAATTTATTCATTTTTTGCACGAAATGTATCTGGGAAGCTTAATGATCCAAAAAATGTTGTGCAAACTGGTTATCGCGGGCAGATCGGAGATAGAAATTAATTTAAAAGCGCGACCGACTGACATATCGCGTTACAATTTGCAACAATCGCTTGAGGCATAATTCAAGGTCATTTGTTCAATCTCTTCCGAAACTTTTCGATATTACATTTATTCTTTTGAAATCTCGCTTTTGGAAACAATGTTCAATTTACCTCCATGTCAATGAAATATCTAAAAACAACCAGAATGTTGAAAAATTACGTGGTATGGTTTTGTATACCTACATACGTGGCGAGTATATATGTGTAGTTAATCACGGTCACGGATAGTCACACAATATAAACTCTTCAGCTGATGGTCAGATCAGACGCTTTCTCTCAATTGCACGAACGAACGATTGATTCATATCCGATTTTTCATTAAACAGGACTGTTTTTTTCATGTATTTACTATTAGATTTTCTAAAAAAAGTTTATCAATAATCTTTATACGGTCACACACTCCACACAACGACGTTTTTGCGAAATAACAAAGCGTCAATACGTTTGTATGTACGGTCACTCGAGGGCGCTTGATTTCTGTTGTTGTATGATACTACGTAGGTATATGCATATGTAAATAAATATGTCTACATATATATTTAGTAGCAAATATTTTGACGTACGTTAATAATTATAGTTCAATTCACCTTGAGATCGATTCCAATTAATTTTTTAAACAATTTTAACCAATTGTAAATTTAGCTCGTATCTTCCTCTATCTTCCTCTTCTCCCTCCACTCTTTAACTCCCTTAGTCCCTGTTTGCTGTTGGAAAGTATTTAATTCGTTTTGTGCCACTGCAATTCGTATTACATATATTGCAGGTTATAGCTTGTGCAGTTATGTACATATATGTGTGTTTACTACAAATAGTATTGTGTACTGTGTAAAAAAAGAAAAAAATAGAAAGACATAAAGTAGTAAAATACATTTTTGCTAACCTCATCATATTATAAATATTTATATACGTGGATAACAACGTAAAAGAGATGGAAATAAATAATGAGGTAAAACTTTAATATGTCTTTAATATCTAAATGAATCTATGAAAACAGTTATTTTTTATTATATATTTTTTATTAAGAAAACAGTTACCTTCTATATAATATTCTATATACCTTCTATGCAATAGTTTCATAGTTAATTTACTGTCATGTTAATTTATTGTTAATCTTTCAGATTGTTCTATTAAGACAATTCGTTCGTCAGGCTCGCATTTGCATAATAAATAAATTGATCAGAGAGGCGAAGAGGTTATGTGCTAGCAATGGTAATGAAAAACTCTTGGAAAAAAATAAGAATAAAGCGAACAAACTCTTAAGGGAGGTATTTGCATTGAAACGTGTCAAAGAGGATGAGATATCGAAATTCGGAATTATTAAATTTAAATGCCTGCAAGATATATTACAAAATCCACAGATTGACGACAAAACTCGTGCCATGGCAAAAGTTGTTCGTTACAAATCTTTAAGTTTGAAAATAATGGAATTTCAGGAGAAGTTTCCAGACTATGATAAGCATATTTCTGGGAGAAAAACAAAGAATTCGACAAAAAAGAAAGGAGTCTGCAATTCAGATTCACAAGTGAAACGATTAGAAAACGACATAAACAACTCTGTAGAAAAAGTCCATGGAGAGAATGCAAAAATTATCAATGACGCTACACCAGCTGGTCATGTACCTTGTCAAAAAGAAAGAAATGGTAATAGAAAATGTGAAAAATTGTTGAAAGGAACAAAATTAAACGTAAAATCTAAAGACGATGAAGGAAACGTGATGGGAATACTTAACATTCAAGATGTAAAGATAGACTCTAAGAATGATCAAAGTTCTAAGATTATTACCAAAGTCATTAGTAATGAGGCCACTGTTAAACGATTCACGGAGGTTTTGCAAGAAACGGAGGAGGAACAAAATGAAATATATAAAACAACTAAGAATCAACAATCTTCCAATGAAACAACCGAATTTTCAAAAAACGCAGACGATTTTTTTTTGCATACAAATGAAGTAACTTTGCGTTCAAATGATACATTTTCCAAAGAGAAAAACATTACTAGTCAATGTAATATTAATCACAATGCATTTAAATCTAATCAGACTAAAAACAAAAAAGATAAATTGTATAATGGAAAGATATATAAAGAGAAAAGAAATAATAGAAAAGGAGAAATGAATTGTACAAACGTATTTTATAATCAAAATGATACGTCAGAAACCCGGAAACAAAATAGGAAAGGTACACAAGTTGAAAGAAAGGAAAAAATTAATAGCACAAGTTCTGCAGAATATGAAAATCTACATCCTTCTTGGGTTGCAAAAAAGAAGCAACAAGATATTATGAAACAGGGATTTCAAGGGAAAAAAATTAAATTTGATGAAAACTAAATAATGAATTTCACTATCGACTAAATACATTTCTATAAATGTATAATTTCCAAAATGAAGGAACAATATTATGTCAATCTTAATAAACAAGAATTTATATATTTTATATATGTTTCATACTTTTTGCGTTAATTAAAACACGTTGTAAAAGGAGATTTTTTATTCAATATCTAAAATTGAAATTGATTTCATTGCAGCTGAAAATTAGTCATTGAAAGACTTTATAAATGAAAGACTACTTTTATTTTTATTTAATTAATCTTATTCGAAACTGGTATGCGAAATGGGCAGAATAACAGAATACACATGGATTATGTTGTAGTTGAAAGTGTGTATTTGCATTTTACATATATGTACATATGTGCGTTGAGCGTTTAAACATAATTTCTGCAATCTCTATAAGATTGGGTTAACAATCGTAATTACAGTGATATGTCCCCCCTTTTCTCCTACTCGAACATGTATTTTTTTTTCTTTTTAGATCGATATTGTGTTCGTTGTTTGTCAAACGATATTTAGGTCGTTTACTTGATATTAACGAGGGGTCCCCAGAAATATGACGTGTATTAACGCAGTAGTTATAGTTTATGAATCTGTTGTAAGTAGTTGACCATAGTAATCACGACTATTTCTTCTTAAATCATATCTTTCTCATTCACTGTCTGAATATAATGTACATCGTAATAAAAAATAAAAAATTTTAATTACATTACTTTTTTTGGATTTTCGATCTCTGCTTTTTATTACACTTATTAAGGAAATCTCGAAAACATATTAAATTTGCCAAAAGTCATAAAAGTCATAAAACCGGGTTGTACTTTTACCATTTTGAATATCTACTCAAATCATATTATTTAAATGATATACGATAATACAGTTTCTTTCAATATTTTTATAAATTATTTAATTGGATGATTTAAAGAATTGAATTTTTACACAATAACTGTTGATAAATAAATGAATATTGTTGTGGTTTATAGTTTGGCAAAGTTTTAAGAAAAAGTTTTATTGTTACTATGTACTGTAGGTATAAAAAAATCTCTTGTTCAACATTAACCATGTACAACAATTAAGGGAATGTTTTGTTCTCCTAGGGAATTAATTTCCTACAAGAATTGATTTGCTTCGCAATATTATGATAAGTTCTTGATCTTTTTCATGTCGTAATACTTGAAAGATTTAAATCACTTGTCCTTTTTCTCTGAAATTCAAAAATTCCTGAGTCAAAGTCCCAGGAAAATTTGGGAAAATATAATGTAAATATAATATAATGATATGAATATAATAAAATATAATATATTTAAAATTAATCGATATTTATATACATAGTGTGTAGTTTAATCAACTTTTTTTTTTTTGGTTTTTTAATTATAAACATAATTTATTTCCAAATTTTCAAAAACCATTATGATATTATGTAATATAATTGCATAAAATGAAAAAGATTTACAAATCGAACGTCACTTAAACGGACTTAATAGTTACGCTCGTTAAGATGCACTCCGTCAGATGTATCATAAATCAATGATCACGTTATAAACTTTTCATGACACAACTGTATATGTATAGATACATATGAGAGAAACAACGCAACGCGTTGTGTGGTACACACAGCCAAAATGGAAATGGAGTTTTAGTAATCCAGAATTATTTATTCTTGGAAAGAGTTCGTTGTTTTTCTGCATGCGTAACCAATTGAGAATCCACGGGTAAACCTTTACGACGGCGGACTGCATCTATATATTTTTTAGCTCTGTTCTCGCTATCTGCTTTGTCACCAAAGTGTAGGTACTCTTCGTCTGTGGAAGGTGTCCAATAAGGATCTTGCTCGATAACCTATTGTTCAAACGAAACATGCATTTATTGTCACAATATTGAATTCACAAATTTATATATATATATATTACATATACATATACACATACAATATATTGTACTACACCGCAGTACAATTAACTAATCAGGTTTTAAAAATTTTATTAATTATCAATGTATACTGACAACAGGAAATGGCAATTACAATTTAGAATTACACTGTTTAACAATACAATTTTGTTTCTTGACAAAACATATTCATATTATATTATACTACTACTACTACTACTACTTAATACAATATATAATACTTAAAACAACAAAATTTATATATTATTAATATGCGTTATTAATTATTTATGTTTTCCGAGATTTTTTATTGAAGAAAGAAACAATAGCAACCAAGTAATCAAATAAAATTTGGAATTACTTGCATTTATCAAATGTGTTATATTCATATTGTTTGTGAGATAGGTAGAAGAACAGTATAAATAAATACATTTAAAAGACACATGACTTTGATTTAATTTTGTTCTGATAATTAATAATTAAAATAGGACTACAATCTATGGTCAAAGGAAACTGATTAGATTGATTTATATTATCAATTGCAAGTATGTGCAATATGTACGTATTCAATTTATGATGATGAAGAAAAGCAGAAAACTATCGAGATATTGTTTATGTGTTTTATATGGAAAAATTTACCTCCCAATGACTGAAAACCAATTGAGGACTAGCCAGCCCAGATGTCTGAGTTCGCAGTTCCCTGGCAAGTTGAAAACTCTCTGGCACGGGTAAAGTCGCAAGCACGCGAAACTGTCCACCGAATCCAAGAGCACTTTCCGCGGAAATCACACGGCCTTGTCTCTTACCGAATACCGCGTACAATTTTCCTGAAAAAAGAACAAAATCAAATCTGTTAAGGTTTGGCTCGAAGGTTATGTGCGAACTGAGAATTGATTCTCAGTAATTTAGCAGACAATAATTTAGTTTGAAAGTTGGCCGTAAGAGAAACGACTCGATTTGTATTAGTATTTGACATAATACATACACAGATAAGATTCAATCAAGAAAGTTAATGGTCAATTTGACTTGCTATAGAAAAGTGAATGTGAATTTGAAATTATTAGTGATGCGGTAATGGCGTTAAAAGAATCTTTTTTTTTTTAACTCTTTTTAAATAAATGAACTTGATAATACAAGGATAGTGATAACTAAAAAAAGACCGTTACAATGGTGGGTACTGTTCCATCGTTAATTAGAGTTATTTCGTTCTTTTTTCTCTTATTGTTAGTTGTCCGACATTCTTTCCTAGGACGGTAGTTGCACAGCATTAACAGTTGGAGTAAGGAGCATAGTTTCCGGTCGTAGGTTGCGGCACCTGCGCTCACCTGCCCTCTTCCATCTTTCTCTCATCGCCGGAGTTACATGCAAGAATCTGGCGTATCTCCCCCCTTTTTTACCTACTCGTAACGTTACGATCTCACAGCATGCACACAAATGCGCTTCCCTTTCTCCCTTTCTCTCCCTCCCTCCCTTTCTCTCTCTCTCTCTCTCTCTCTCTCTCTCTCTCTTTCACTCCTTTTTCTCCTTTAGCCTTTTCTTTCTCTACTACAGCTATGCCGCAATCTCACTGTTGAGAGTTTCACCTTTAACTATACATCGAACGCTACAACTCCCCTCTCCAGCTTCTATCTTGATGCTCTACTCTTTCAATCCCACCTTGTTTTCGAACTCCTCGCCGAATCGTAACCAAGTCTTGCTCCCCTCTCAATAGCAACAATTCATTCATGCCACGTACAGTGGTTCTCCAAACGAAGATGACAAACTTGTTGAAACGTTCTGACAAACATTATTCCTCACTAAAAGTCAAAATGAAATAAAGCTTTGTCTTTAACGCCTACCGCGTACTGTTTGCACTTTACGTGTTAACAGATTCTGTATTACAGAATCATAGCGATCGCAGAAACTGAATAGAGCAGAATAGTACTGAATTCAAGTTTGACTTTTGCAATTGTCACACACACACACACACACACACACACACGTTGGAATTTTTCTATGAATTTCTTCCTTTAAAATTTTATGTCTTAAATAAATGTTTGTAACAATTGCGTTGTGAAATATAGGTAAACAGTAAGCAAATAGAATAAAAGTAGAATAGAGAGAAAAATTTTGATCAGTAGGATCTGATAAAACAGACAGAGAAAATGAATACATACATCGGATCGAATTGAATCGAATCGGATCGAATTGGATCGGATGAGATCTCTCACTCCTATTTGTTTTCATAAACAAGTGGAGAGAAAGAGTAACGCAATGCAGGTGGATAGAGGAATAAGGTGAAGAAGACTAAAGAGTATTGGGGGGAAAGAGAAAAAGTACGAGTGAATGGATCGCGCCCTCAATCAATGAAACAGCGATTCTCAAACTCAAACTCATTAATCTTTGGAAACGATATTACGATTTGGTGTTTCGAATAATATGGTACCAAACCATTTCCATAGTCATTTTACATGACACAGTCATTTTTAACTATGAAAAGATACGAAAGTTTAAAAGATCGATCTTTCGGTAAAAAATTGTTTTTATTCATTAAGATAATAGATAAACGAACATTGTTGTTACACGTCTGTAAATAAATAATTTATTGTTTATGATACACGATGGAATTTGTACATGGTCGTATCTTTAATAGTTAGTTATAACAACCACACTACAGTTGTGGTAGGGTTAATTATTATTTACAATTTTTGATATACTTATATATAGTTTCGAAAGAGAAACTTTTTATTTATGAGAAGATCTTGTATGTGAAATTCCAGGAATATGGAATGAAATGTCTAGGAAAAAACACAATATTGCTAAATGAGTGCACGTGGAAAGATTGTTCACGTGGCAGCGAGTTACTTAAAGAAAAGTGAAAAGATGGTCAAAGTGTAAAGCTCAAGGCAGCTCGAAGTATTGTAGAAATCTTCAGCCATTTATCATCCACGTTATAATACTTTTTGAATGTTATTGTATGCATGATCGTGTGAATCGATGTGAAGAATCACGTGAATTGCGCATCACGTGTGTACTTACTTTACGTAGAAATACCTATTAAACTTAAGCTACGTAGACTACATTGCTCATGTATTTCACGTCACCTGTTGGATATTTCTGCATATAACATAGATTATTCTTTGTTATTATCGAACGTTCAGTAAAAGCGATTTTCCAAGAATTCCTTAACCGACTGATAATTTTCTTTTTAATTTGGAATATTTTTCCCACTTTACACTTATATATACTTACATATTTATGTACGTACATATTCTGATTGATAGCCACGGAGTTGAGAATTATCCTTGTAAAAAAAAAAAGGAATTTACCGATTGCAATCGAGTACGTATCTATTGAATGTGTCACAAATGAATCATGAAGATTTAATGACCATCGAATAGTAATGAAGTTAAACAAATGAAATGAGTAAAAAGTGTGGCTCGTTACAAAAGAAAACCTAGCAGAACTGAATAATAGATCAAAAGAGTAAAATCTGTGTAATCGATGTACAAATACATATAGAAAAGAGGAAGAAACTAGAGAAAAAATACTAAAAGAAAAACGAGATTAAAAACTTACCAAAAAAGGTGGAAAAGATATAAATGGAGGAGGAAAGGATGAAAAATGAGAAGAAAAAGGAGTAAGTAAAAAGAAAGGAGAAAAGGGGGTAAAAAAAAAGATGAGGATAAAACAAGAATAAAAAATATACTACAAATATCCAAAACAAAAGAGAAATTGCAACAAGGCAAAGATATCTAAGTAACGATTGAATGAAAAAGCAGAATGGAATGGAATGGAATGGAATGGAGTGGAGTGGAGTGGAGTGGAGTGGAGTGGAGTCGAATGGAATGGAATGGAATGGAATGGAATGGAATGGAGTGGAGTGGAGTGGAGTGGAGTGGAGTGGAGTGGAATGGAGTGGAGTGGAGTGGAGTGGAGTGGAGTGGAGTGGAGTGGAGTGGAGTGGAATAGTGTAGAGTGGAATGGAGTAGCGTGTGGAGTAGAGTGTGGAATGAAGTAGAGGGGAGAGAAGTGACGGAGAAACAAGAACAGAGGATTGGGGTGGGTTAGAATAACGGGGGTTAAAATAAAGTGGACTGGAGTAGAATGGAGTGGGATAGTGCAGAGTGGTATGGAACGGAGTAGAGTGGAGTGGAGTGGAGTGGAGTGGTGTGGAGTGGACTGGAGTGGAGCGGAGTGAAGCGGAGTGGAGTGGAGTGGAGTGGAGTGGAGCGGAATGGAGTGGAGTGGAGTGGAGTGGAGTGGAGTGGAGTGGAGCGGAGCGGAGCGGAGCGGAGTGGAGCGGAGTGAAGCGGAGCAAAGTGAAAAAAGAAGAGCAGAGAAGGGAGACTCATTCATGTTTTGCCTCTAGCTGTTAGAAGTCCAGTCGAACGAATAGTATACGCTCGTACAGCACGAATGTTGCGAGCCGTTTAACCTCGGACTAAATCGAATCGTATTGCAAAATATAAATCGTAAAACGTAGGACGTAGGACGTAGAACGTAGGACGTAAGACGTAGGAGGAGCGATAAAGAAGATAAAACGTGGAGAACGCAAGGACACAAGAAATACAGTGTGGGGCACAGCGTGTGTAGCGATCGAGTAGAACGTGACTGTTTTGAAAAGTGTGCGACATCGGCCACGTTGCTGTTCACTGCCTGAGTGACTGTATTTTCTCATTGGGCGCGATAATACCAAGAACCGGAAAATTCAGTTTCATGTTCGAAAGAACGAGTTAGATTTCAAGACTTATTTGGATTTGTTGAATGGGCAACTACGTTGCAAAGTGTTTTCGACTTGAATTTATTCGATTTCTGTGAATAGAGATACTACTTAGAAGTAGTAAGAACTCAATTATAACAACATTTCAAGATTTCTTAGCATTAAAATCTAAAACCATCATTGAATTAGCAGTTGAATCAAGTAGGACTTTGATATTTATGTTTAGAGAATTACCAAATTTATTGTGCATGGCATAAAAAGATTGAGAAACAATTACTCGTACAATATGTTAATTGTAATACCTGCGACGGTTAGTGGTAAATTTGTTAATGGTGGTATATAAACGCGTACACGTGCGTGCCTTGTTTCATGTTCGAATATTGTGCTGCGTGGTTAATGCTGCTATTTCAAGTTCTCATTTTCGATTTTATTCGACAATATTGACAACTGTATTGGCTGCACGGTGATCTGGGTATTCGTTGGATGATCGGTGATCGTCGCGATCACCGATCGTAAAAACAAACATTTTTATCGTTTTTGTCGGACGTGAAGGAGGACAAGAGGAAAGAGAAGAAAAAGAAGGCAGAGAGAGAGAGAGAGAGAGAGAGAGAGAGAAAAGAAGAAAAAGACGGGAAGAAAGAAAAAAAGAAGCAGGAAGGATCGCGTGCGCGCAAAAGGATGGCCGATTTGATCTGTTTTTTGCTAGCAATGTTCGGGCAATTGCTCGTTCGTGAAAGTAAGGGTAGTCTCCTTGGCGTGGAACTCGATAAAACCGGTGAAAAATTTCTCAATGAATATTTATCGTTCGATGACGGCAAATATCTCGCGGAGTTACAGGAGTTTGAAGATACAGCGATCGAGCTTGATTTGATCGATCAAAAGAAAAAACATCGACCGACGCATCAACCGCCCAGGGTGCTCTACCAAATTGGGGTAAGTTCTCGTTGTTTGAAATAACAACGTAATACATATCGAGAGATAAATATCGGATTAATTCTATTCGATTTTCATTATTATCATTTTTGTTGCCGAGAAATATATTTTTAGACGTTGAATCTTGCTTTATACATATTTTATAGATCCGTATGTATATAAAGTTTCCTTTTAACTTTGGAAACGATTCACTTTTTATATCACACGATTAATTTTTTTTTTGCAAATTTAATAAAATAAAAATTTTTCACTGCGGTGTCCCATTTACATTCAATGCAGATCAAACATTTTATGCATGATAATTGAAATATTTTTATGCTAGTAATGCGTTTTTTTGTTTTATTTATAGAAAAACAAGCTATCGTATTTTTTTTTTTTTTTTCCTATTAATGACGATATTGGCACAATTCTGTGTGAAATTTATCCGGTATTCTTTGACGTCAATGGATCAATAGCGTTTACGAAAGGATTTTACGAAATTAATATTTCAACAATGTTTGTTACTGCATACTTTCAATTGTCTAAGATAAATAGTCTATTTTTACATTCTTCTCGATGAAATGTTAAAAATTTATTATCGTTAAAAATTTATTCAGTTATTAACCATTTCAGGCTATAATTTCTTACAAAAGTGCGAAACGTGTCAAACAATCTTATTCATTGTTTCTCTTACTGTTTAATTGTACCTTTTCATATTTTTATATTCTCTGTTCTCCATTTCTCACTTTTGCAATGTAAAAACAAAAGAAACCAAAAATAAAAAAAAAAAATGCGTATAAAAGTCTAAGGATATATTTGACTTGTGTCGTTTTATACTTTATACTGATTGTCAGAATGCAAGAAGCATCTTGCGACTGATCATCATTTGCTATAACCAGTGCTTATACGTATATATACGCGCGTGCAAGAGTAGCAAGAGCACTGTAGTTCGAGAACCAGGTGTCATTTTCACTGCGGCCATAAGAGAAGTGAGAGACGCGTGAGAATTTCCGGATGGAACGCACAGCCTTTCCGGTCTCCCTATTATCCCATTTTAGTTCGCAGCCACCGAAGGTTTTAATACGTACAATCTTCTGGGAACGTTGAGACGAAGAGGTAAGGTGGGGTGGGCAGAAGAAAGAGAAGGGAATATGGGAAAACGGAATGGAACGGAACCGAACAGAACAGAACGGAATGGGACGGGACGGGACAAAACGGGACGGGACGGGACGGGACGGGACGGGACGGGACGGGACGGGACGGGACGGGACGGGACGAAACGAAACGAAACGGAAGGGAAGAGATCGGTAACGAGAAGGTACGAGAATGGGAAAAGTGGATGATCATTCTAAAAAAATGTTGGCCCCATATATTATACCAACAAATGATGGATCGGTCGATCGATATCAGAAATTCTTCTATGTACGTATGTACGAATGTACGAATGTACGAATGTACGAATGTACGAATGTACGAATGTATACTTGTCATTGTAAACATTTAAAGAAACGGATTAACTATATAGCTATAACTAGCATGTGTAACATTGTGCTCAATCTTACACACTCAATTCCATACTTTTATGCATAAAAGTATGGAAGCTAGATAAAGAAACGAAAAAAAAAAGAAAAGAAAAATGTGAAGAGTTTTCAGGGGGAAGGAATGAGGAAGAGAGGGGAGGGAGGGAGGGAGGGAAGAGGTGGAGGGGATGGGAGTGTGTGGGTTGGAGAGGCAAGCCAAAGCAAAAGTAGCTTGGCAAAAGTCTACGAAAGGGTATTTGAAAAGTTTAGCTTAGGTGCTCGAGCGGCACGTAGATCGCAAACGACGAGTCAACAGGACGTACGTGATTGCCTCATTCAGCGGATTGACCGACGCCGTTTGAATAGTGTAGTTAGACCAGATGTCTATTCTTCAACATAGAGGGGAGACACGTATCTCTTGAGCATGTTACACACAACTTCCTTTGCTCGATCATTTTCTCTCTCTGTTGCGCAGGTGCTAGCACATTCTTCATTTGCTCGATACAATCTCACATACTATGTATTTTCTTTAATTCATCTTTAATTCATGTTAAAACAACTGTTGACTCGCAAAATCAAGTCAATCGATTTGCCAATATTTCGATTAATACAACAACAACAACAACAACAACAACAACAACAACAACAACAACACAGTCAGTTATGTAGTCATCCGATCTTACTATTCTTTTCGTATTCTTTTCGATGATTTTCAGAATATTTACAATCACTCTTGTTTAATGAGATCTTCAATGTTGTTGTCAACCTCGACCGGTTTTCCTGAGTGTGGTGCATCATCAAGATTGAAATTTCCTGCACAGAACCTGGCAAGCGCGTTCGTTCTTGTACTGTATCTTCTCTACAAATCTCCTTTTCGACAGCATAACGTGTCACTTTATCATCGTTCATCTTTTAAATTAACTCTTTGCAAAAAGAAGACTTTGCAGAATTGTACTTAAATTAACTGTTGTATACAGGTAATCAAATGCTAATGGGTTATGTAAACAATACTAAACATATCCGCAATTAACTGTGATTAACTCCATCTTCTAACAAAAAGAAGAACGAACTTTCTGTTTAATTTGATATTACGAAATCTTCAAGATTCTTTAAGATTCGAGATAAGCGTTCTTTTTTAAGTGCGATTAAAACATGATTTTTTTACATTTTACTGTATCAAATTGTAGAATAAAAACTTGGCGAACAATTTGATTCCAAGCAGAGTAGATGAAAACTTGAGACTAATAATTTCTTGATCGTAATATACGTAAGTCTCTCTCTCTCTCTCTCTCTCTCTCTCTCTCTCTCTCTCTCTCTCTCTCTCTTGATAGATACAGATAGTAAGTATAAATATATGTGTATTTAAGGGATATGTATAGTACAGTAGGGATATGTATAGTATCCACTGTACTATATGCGTCCGCATTTTTGCCCACTTAGAATTGGGACTGTCTTGCTCACACGCTACCAGCTTATCGTGCAATGTGCCCAAGGCAGTTTGAAATAGCAAGCGAGCAACAGCTGTATACCGATATTTTGGCAAAATTCGCAAAACACACCTCCCCACTTAATCGTTCGCTCTTGATGCCGACTGCGTGGGCATGCTTACGTGGACGCTACTGTAATAGGTGACAAAGACCGTATTATTTTCGACTATTAACTTTTAATTTGCACATCGATCATGCACCGACGAGCAAAATGAGAACTAAGAACATTCAGGAGATAACGTTAAATTATAATAATATCGAAAAGTATTGGAGATAGTGAGCGCGAGTTGCGAGCGATTATCCTCGCGGATCTTGTATCGATATAGGCCAGACGCGCAGCAGAAGGCGGCGCATTTCCTTGTGAAGCGGGGTCAAGCTGAGAACGGTGCGCAACGACCATGATCCGCTATCGATCGTGTTGTTGCTTTTATTAGTCTTCGTTTCAAAGGACTAACGGATCTCGGTGTTGTTTTTCGTTCTTTGGCTCGGAAAACAAATTCCTTAAAATCATCGAATTCAGAGAGGGGATAACAAGAGACGGACAACGAACGTGTCGACCGAAGTATCGTGTGTATGTATCTCATTCTTAACAAACGTGCACAATGTCCTTTCGCGCTAGTATCGAATACAAATATCATTCACGCAACTACCTTCCCAACGAGTAATAATAAATCAAAATAAATCAAAGGGAAAATCAAAGAGGAAAAGAAAAAGGAAAAGAAAACTTCAAAAGATTGAAGAAACACCGTCGACAAAAGAATTAAGACAACGCGAATTAATACGAGCATACATACATCGCGTTGAGAGAGAGAGAGAGGGATAAGTAGTTATGAGGAGATTGAAGAAAATGGGTGCAAGTATTACTGCAACAATGTGGTAAATGTTTGTCAATTTTGATTTTGCAGGACAGCGAAGACGAGTTGCCCGAATGTTCAGACCGAAGCGAAGTTTGCAGCAAGGTGGATTTATACGGATCACCTTGGGTCGAGAGACAATGTCGTTGCCCGGATGGTCGTGCTTGTCCTAGCAGTTTACACGGAGACGACGGACACACGATAGTTGATAAAACACGGCAATACAAGCTTTGCGAGCCAGTGAAACGTCTACCCATCTGTCGTTACTTCAAGTTAGTCGCGATCGTTCGTTTAATCGAGAATATACATCAAGTGGCGCAGCGCGATCAAACGTACCGATTCGCGAATGCTTTACGCGTGTCTCTCTAGACTTATATACACGTTCTGCTATTATTACACGCACGCGTAGCGTACAAGATGGCTGTTTGCTGTTTACAGAGACGTCACATGGACGTTGGCTCCTGGAGGGGGTCCAGCGAACGCGACGGTTCAGCGAGTTTATTGCCGATGTCGGCCAGGCAGCGTACCTTATCTAGTTCGAAGGCAAGCCTACAGATCTTCCGAGGGAAGTCCAGGATTTATCTACGCATTCGCGTGCTCTCCTCAAAGCGTAAGTTTTCTTGTTTATTCCGTACTCGCGTCTGCGTTTCTATTTCCGTTTCCGTTCCCGTTCCCGGTCCCGTTCCCGTTCCAATTCCCGTTCTTGTTCTCGTAACACATCTCTACACGATACGACGACACGATGTAACGTTCAATTGTATCATTGAAAAATGTCAAGTTGCAAGTTAGTGTATTGAAACGTCGAGTACGGCTACTCTCGCAGAGCGAATGGTCAGAAAGGTGAAAGGCACAAGCAAGCGAGTCGACGAATGTGTTACGAATGAAACTGACATTTCAGAGACTACGTTGTCAACACAAGGAACCCTGTCGACTGTTCACTGTACGCAAGAGACGGAGCTCGCAACTCGAGGAGGTAAACGCATCGCCTCTTTGCCAGTGTCCGAAAGGCCATCGATGCCCGAGAAGACACACCGATCCAGGATCACTGCCAGCAAGATCTTATTCCGGCGTTTTAGAAATTAAGACGTACAGCGGATACTGCGTACCTTTGCAATCGCATCATTCCGAGGCAGTTTATAACGTTTAACACGATTGCAACTTGATTTTGAAGCGTGTCGCATGCAACTAGCGCGTTTGCACTCGCTCAATGATAAACAATGACAAAATAAAGGGAAATTCTTCTTTCATTTGTGATATTCGCGGCCGCGATGTGTGCGTAGTTTCAGTATTCTGAAATTTTGAACGCGTTCTTCTCGAGCCAACAGGAAGAAAAATAGTAGCACGGGGAGCTGATCAATCGCGATTTTGGTGTCGAGGTGTATAAGAAGACTATAAGATAAAATTACTACCAATCAGTGGTCTCGAGTGATTTCCGTTCATTTGGAGTTCCAAGTTGTACCGTCCATTCATAAAAGCCTATAAAATCGTAAAATCCATTGAACTGTTCCATTCTCTCTGCACAATCGATACGACTCAAAAGTAATTTTGATTTCTTTCGTTTCGGAAATAAAACATGTTTGAATTGGGAAATATTAGATATCATCGTTTGAAAAATATCACGATAGAAAAAGTCTGTTATTATACACATTTCTTATTATATACACGATATTGTTACATTATTACGTGCTACACTGTAGTGTAATGTCTCTTTTGTAAATATTTAATTTAACAAAAAATTGAAATAAACAAGTTTCATTATCGTCAATTCATTATAACCAATATCACAATCATCATTGCCGTATCTCGTTTTCATTAATGTATTATAATAATATTACAACGAGGTATGTAAGTTAAGTTAGGCCTCAATTAACTTTGTTATTTATATCAATTATTGTTATTATATGTATATGAATCTTATTATTATTATTACTAAATTTATTATTCTTGTTGTTCTAATTTATGTAGTAATGGCGATTATTAATTAGCAATCATTTTACCTGATACCAAGTTATGTACTCGAATCTTATGTATGTATGTATGTATGTATGTATGTATGAATAACGTATGTATAATATATCCTCGATTTCTTTTACGAGCATTACATAACGAGCAAAACGCTGTTTGAAAGACGTTATCTCCTAGAATTCAAACGAGAAGCGAAATAGCAAACAAGAGGTGCAAATAAAAAAAGAAAGAAAGAAAGATTTTATTTGTCCAAAACAATAACAATTCGAGGGGTAATTAATTTTTCTTTTTTCTCTTTTCCTCACTCAACCGAATGAAATAATGAAATTTCTATGGTCGATAAACTAGATCTTTGACATGCGAGAGCTTAGCGTTTTCTTTTCAACGTGCAACGCCAGATGGCGCAAGTTTTAAAATTCAGTGACTTGTGCTGATACTTTCTTTATCAATTTAAACATTTATTTTGAATAGAAATGTCCTTCAGAGTTACTACATACTTGAGAACTTGTTAGAAAATATTTCATTATTAATCTCTATTACGTTATCTTGAATAATTTTCGCTTTGTTTTCGCGTCGTTCGCCTATTAGCTACGTGCGTTGTGCTTGATAATTTGTCTTAAAAAAAAAAACGTATTTGTACTAAATAATACTAATAAAAGATGATACTATATATTACTGTTATTATTATACTTGTTATTGTTCATGTTATTAATATGTTTTGAATATCACATCAGTAATATTAGAATAAGAATAGATTAATGTACACATAGTTTCAGCATATCTTCATCATTCATATAAACATGTGAAAACAAAATAAGGAGGAAAGAAAGGAATAAAGCACGAAATAATCAAATGTAAAGTTAATAGAAATAGGAAGATGGAAATGGAAAAGGAAATCTGCATCGAAGCTATTAATTCTTAACGATGTTAAGAACAGGAATGAAATTGGTAGCAGGAAAAATCTAAAATTAAATTCTCGTTAAAGTATACGTAAGTAATAAACGTTAAAAACTTGTACATGTACGTGTATAATATTTACACACATGTATCGTAAGAAATAAATTTGTTGAATGATTGCAGAGAAAGAAGATAACAAGTAATAGGTACATATGTGTATTTATGTTTAGGAGGAAATACAAAAATTAAATCAAACAAATATATCGTGCAGTATAAAAAAATCATGTAATATAAAATTGTGACGTCGAGGTAGGAGAAAGAAGAGTGTTAATAAATGAAATGATAAACTAACGAAACAAATGAAAAGAATAGAAATATACAGACCGGATACAGACCGGATGGTGTGGAAAGTTTCGAATTCAGGATAGAGCATTGATCTAAGCACCTAATAGATGCGATAGAACGTAAATACGAATAAGTATTTATGTATGCATACGAACGAAACACGGTAGTCGAAATTACATTAACCCTTTGTTTTAAAGCGCAGTCAGATACGTAGCAAGTTACTCCGGTATGTTGGATGGCAGAAATACTGGAGCACGATATGTACGCGTAATTAGTACGTCGAATATCATAACAGAGGAGAACCAACTATACATCAATGTACACATAGATAGACCATAGTTGAATCTCCGGTTGTTTCCTTCGATTCGAGATCGAAGAAAGGACAACGGAACGTTACATTACGTGCTTTGAAGATGCACGGCAAAGAAAATTCTCTATGCAAGGAAACAAGATCACCACGAATCTCTCGTTCAGAAATCTGGTTTGAACGATGTATCAATAAAGTGAACCGACAACAAGTTTACCGCTGGGGACCAGAATGATTTCATGCTCGATATAATTTTCTGGTATTTGACCGATCGCGCGAAAAGTAGCGGTACTGCAACTTATCGTGCTCCGATTTGCTTCCGTTTTCGCTTTTTTCCCCCCCCGAGTAGTGATCGCGCGCATGCGCACACGTGAGCAACTTTACTCTTGCACGATCCGAGTGATCGCTTACCATGATCGATGACAACTGCGCTTTTTACGAATGTTGCTCCATTCAACTAACGTTCACGACGCCAAGAAAAACTACACTTTTCGAAAAACTTTTGAGAAATTTCGTCACGGACAGCGAGACACGACGTTACAAGTAACAGCAATCGGATTGAAACAAATTTCTGAAATATTCTTCAACTATTTATCAACTATTACAAATTTCTTTAATCCAAATTGAATATCAGTCTTATTACGAAACCGCTGTTGTTTCAATGAATCGATTGCTAAATTTATTAGCACTAGATTCCTCATCTAAGAGAATTTAACTATTACCACACCGTTACGAGACAATTTGAAAAAAAAAAATTAGTAATTGATATGCCTACAGAGAGAGAGAGAGAGAGAGAGAGAGAGAGAGAGAGAGAGAGAGAGAGAGAGAGATAAAAAGGAGAAGAAAAGGGGGAACGAAGAAGAGAGAAGAAAGAGAAGAATAAAATGAAGAAGAAAAAGGAAAAGAGGGAAAAGATACAACTTGTTTTATGAGATTTTCTTCTTACGACACAGAGTAGTATCGCGTGATTTTCTTTCAACGCGTTGCGATTAGTTTCGTTAGATTTGTTTCTTCAACGGACAAATTTATCAGTTGTCACAACGGACACATCTCGTCCGGTAACGATTTGTGATTTTCGACGACTGTCAGTTTCCGATCCCGGTGGTTTTTTTACTCTACTTGCAAGGATGAATCTACCAGTGTGCTAGTATGTTTAGAGTATTCGGTGGAATAAGTGGTGGACAGGCGAGTAAGTAGATGTGTTGATGGAGGAGCAAAGGAAGATAGAGGATTGGTGGAGATGCAGCTTAGGATTCCACGCATAGTCAAGGGGCCTCTGGTTGGTTGGTAAGTGGGACTAGCCGGGACTCATAGGCAGCATGTCTCCTACGAGGCTCACAGTCCCATTCGACACTCTGAAACGCGTTTAAGCGCGGTGTTTGTTTCCTTCTTCGTGCAAGTTTTCTCGCTTCGTGTACTCTTTCTCACGAAATTCGGTGAAACGATCATGCAGAAGAACTTGAACGTCGCGGCTTGATCCTGTGTAAAACGCATCGGGAAAAGAAAGGAAGGAAGGAAGGAAGGAAGAAAGAAAGAAAGAAAGAAAGAAAGAAAGAAAGAAAGAAAGAAAGAAAAAGAGAGGGAGAGAGACAGTTTGCGTTTCTAATATTGCAAAATTTTATCGTGGAAATACATCGTCGATCAAAGTCGAATAAAGATTTCGAATCGATCAAGATTTATCTGCTCTCGGCTCTCCGTCGAGAACCGTTATTACATTCATCGTGGATATTTTCCCTCAGAAAGAAAGATCGTCGCGTTCTACGCGTACAATTACGTTCGGAAAACATTGTTATAACGGATCACGCTGCGAAGAATCGAAACTCCAAGACTAGATCGAGGTTGGGCTGGGGGTCGGGGTCGAGGTCGAGACCCAGATCAAGATCTTGGCCGAAATCGAGGTCGTGCTTGGATGTCGAGGGTGAGTTCAGGGATTACTTGTCCCTGATATATTCTCATCGTCAAACTACGTTTCTTCTTGTAAAGTAGATAATAAATCAGAGTTATTATACTATTATGATTATTTGTATACTGTGCATACATACGTAGTATATATGATACAGATATTCGTCATTTCCTCACTAGCTAAGTGAGACAGTGAACATGAAATTATACACTGGAAATAAAAAAATATTTGCTCGAAAGAAAGAAAGAAAGAAAGAAAGTATGACATACGAGAACGACGACGATCAAAATTTTAATCGTACAAGCACGCGTCTGAAAAGTTAAAAGTAATCTTTCTAAAATGGGAGCTATACCACTAATCACCCCAAACTTATAATTATGTACGAGTAAATTTCTTCTGAGTTAAAAATCTTTTTTTCCGGAAACGAACGAAATATCACTTTACCGGAAAAAGAGAGAATAAAATATTTGTTCCCAAAAATTTGTGTAAATATTGTGTAAATTTGTTGCCAAATATGTATATCAATACTCATATTCTCGACTCTATTTTTACATGCAAGAATGAATGAATGTTTTTGCGTTTACTTGCACTCATTCATCTCTATTGTATGACACTGCTGCGTTCACGACCGCGTTACCACCGTGTATGCACGTACGCATCACGCATGTGGTATACCGTGTGGTGTACCGCGTGCCGTGTCATCATCTCTATCGCGATCGACAGAAAGAGCACGTCAACAACAAAATGACAACAAATTTCTTTCAGACAGTAACTTTCTAATTTATTATCGTATAAAAATCACTTTGTTTGTTAAATTCCTATTTATCTGTATTTTGCTACTGATGTGAATTTTGCATTGAAAGTTTGGAAATGAAAGGAAATTAATTGATATCATTGACATCAATTCGATCAACGCGAATTATTCGTACATGTAAATGTTTTAACGCTCGTCGACTGAACATCGTAGATATACTCGAAGAACTAATTGAACGATTCGTAACAAAAGTTCAACTTCTTAACGAACCGAACGATCTTCTTCATTGGATATATGTAGTATGCACATAAGTACAAGTACGTAGATAGAATTTAGGTCGCAGTGTGAATCATAGTGGCGTCGTGAGAGTTGCAGAAAAAAAAAAAGAAAAGGAATCACCATCTGAAAGAGACGGAGAGACAGTTTCGGAGCTAGACAGTTTCGTTAGAATGCGTTTGAAAGAAAACGAAATGAAATAAAATCAAAAATTGTAAATGAAAGACGGAGCACGGAGTAGGTAGCAACGTTTGCATCTTACACGCCGTGCAATAAGCAAGCAAGCACTTACGCATATAGGTATGCGTATAAATACTTAGGTTAGCCGCCTCATTGAATTTTAGCGGTTGTTGCATGCCGCGGCCTTGAACATGCAAAGAAAGATAACGGCTTGCGAGAAATGTAACAGGTTAACCTGATTTCACCGCATCCGCGTAGTGAATAGTATCGAGCTGTAATTATCACGACAGCCTTCAACATGAACGTTGAAGACAACTGTTGTTGCTGGAGAGAATGCGCCCGATAACAGATAACCGCGATAATCGTGAAGTTTGCACGCGGATCAAATTCGTGTACGCGTTAACTTTACAAAGATACTTGGAGATGTGACTCGTAGGTAACAAACAGGTAGTACTGTGTACTTATAAAATCGAAATAAGCCCAACTGGCTGAAGGTATTACTTGGTATTAGTAGACGTAATGAGGTGCAACGCGGAGAAAGAAGAAGTGGAAGAAGGGATGCGTATGCCTATAGGATTATGGATATAATGTGGTAGCATTTAGAACGGCTTTTATCGTTGGCGTTGAAATTTTGCGACTCAATGGAGAACTGAGAAATTGCGCTCTCTCTCCTACCCGTCTCCTCTCTCGTGGATATATACCGAGAAAAGTTGTGATACCGTTAGCGGGCTTGAACTCTCCCTTTGTACTCGTTACTTATTCGTTATTTTCTCCGTCTCTTTCTTCTTATAGGTATCACTTTCTTTTTTTTACACTCTTGCCAACATTCTGTTCTCTCGACCAAAAGGAACAAGCCGGTACGTACGCCGGTAAGTATTTGCTCGCCACACCGTGAAAGCTGCTAAAAACGAAACGAAATCCCACGCTCTCTCTCTCTCTCTCGTCGTTTGTCAATCTGTATCCGCGATTTGCGCTTTCGTTACTTGACAAATTTCACGTTGACAATTATGACAGTTACCAAGTAGTTCGTAATTAGACGTTTAGGGTATGAACAAGTATCGTTCGTATACTCATTACCAAATATTTCTCTCTTTATTTCTAGGAGATACCAGGTGGTTGGCGTTGGCGTTTGAAGAAGATCACGAAGGAAAACCAGTTTCTTTGCTTTTTCTATTGAACGTATCGATATACCGATATACCGATATACCGATATACCGATATACCGATATACCGGAGATACCGGAGATACCGGAACGAAAATGAAGTCGATCCGAGGAGCGATATGGTTGGTTCCGTTGGCGGTTGGCTGTATAGCTTTACCGGCGCAATTAGAAACGAATTCGAAGAATACGGGCAAGACGAGGCAAGCCAGGACGATGCCGTTATATTTCAACGAGAGCGGGTCTAACAGTTCGGCGACGACGTCCAATAGCAATAACAGCGGCATTGATGAGAACAACATCGAGCCCGCCGTTAACAACTATACAACAAACAGTATCGGTAGCAACGACGTCGACGGCGTTGTTGCATCGAAATCGAAACCGTACATTTCCGGAGTTTCTGCTACGATTAGCAACGATGGGCTGCTCGTGTCGTCCCTGTCACCGACATTAATCACGTCAATATCGACGTCGACATCAACATCGACATCGACGTTGATATCGACGTCGACGTCGACATCGACATCGACATCGACATCGACATCGACATCGACATCGACACCGAGATCAACGTCCACGACAACGTCGACGGAACAACATCCTCTCGTGGGAATGACCGAGCTGTCTCTAACAAGCGGTTCTTCGTCGTCGCCAAATTGGTTGATCGCAGACAGCAAAACGGAATCAAGTCCATTGGCAACGAGCAACCGTGGAACAACCACGATCACGAAAACGACAATCAACACATTGGCGGCGGCGGCGGCGACTGTCACGATAAATAGCAATGCCTCTAACATAAGTTCGAGCGCGTCTCCTACCGAAGCTTCTTCCAGAACGATCGCTTCTAATCGAGACACGAGTACCTTTTTATCATCCTCCAAGAAATCCACCACAATGTTCAACGAATTTGTTACCACGCCTGCTACGACGTCCGTAAAGGAGACGCGAGAATCGACCGGGAAAATTCGTCCTCAAATCAAATTGACGACCAACTACACTAGCCTGACCGAGGTGAGTAAACGTTCGTTTACGTTACGTTTTTTTTTCTCTTACGAGTCTAACGTCTGAGAATAATGTCTAAAGACAATGAACAAAAAATTAAACATAGTCGGATTGTCGGATTATCGGAAGTTTCATAAAAGATCAAAGGAACAAAAGTTTCGTGTGCGAGTATAAATAGTAAAATGAACGCGGGCACTAAAAACGGAACGCCAGGAATGGAATAAATCAGCAATTACAACAATTTCTGACGAAAGTGCGAAAGTACGACTCGAACGAGAAGTTACTGCACGCCGCTTAATTTCATTGCGAGGATTAACAGGTTTATACAACATATTTGTAAATACAATTGTTTAATTAATAAAAAAATTGTACGATAAGAAGATATTTTACGAGAATTTGATCGTCAACGTCCATGGAACATTAACGTGTGGCAAGCAAATGATCTTAATGCTCTATGCAGTTTTCATTCTCGAGACAAATCATTGTAAAATACCTTTTTCTCCTTAACTATTGGGCTTAGGGCCAATATGGCTTGATATTTTTTTACCTGGAATTTAATATTCTTCCGATTTGTAAGGGAAAAAATAGTTCAATTTAAAAAAATAACGATGACCTCGAAAATTTCGAAACCGACAAAAAATTGATACGCTATATCTTGCCTTCTTGAAAACCATACAACTTTTGCATTGAACTTTTGAATTTTTCATTAGACGCACAATGTAAAATTGTTATTTCAAGTTATGTGAACCACCCCATACATTCGAGAGTTTCATTCATTCGAGAGATTCAACTAATCGACAAATAACCAAATAGTTGTTACTCGTAGCATGTTCATTTCATTTCTTGGCCAAGATCTTCCAATCGATTAGATTGTTTCCACAGAAATATTTCCTTCGCAATTCATATTTTCTTGTTTCGAGAATTTACTCACATTTCCATGAAATTTTGTTACTTGTCCGTTTCTTGTTTCGCTTTGTTCCTTTTCATTCCTGACAGTTATTGATATATCCGGTAATTATTTTAATATGTATCACGTTGTACTTGGAAAATGATCATCTATGAAACTCGTATGTGCATGTTCCACGAATTACAGTTACGAATGTGTAACGTCGATATGAAAGATCGGATCGGATGTAAAACGTAACGGATTACATTTTATTATACGCAAACAGTTAATGATTACTTGTGATAGATCTAGCGTTACGAATAAGAAGGAAATGGCAAAAAGAAGAAAAAAAAGAAAAAGAAAGAAAAAATGCAATTCCGACGCGGAATTCCGAGTGATTTTAGTAATTGTCTATTTGCAACAGTTTAGTTTATTGACATTGACAAATATAAAGTCATTAAACACTAACGACGAAAATAAATAAATAATTTGAATTGTTAGTTTTGTAGGTATATGTACACATATATTATTATACCTATCGTATATATCGTAAAATGGAAAAAACAATGTTGTTGCTAAATAATATGAAGATTATTTCGTTGGAATATCAAGAAAATACGTACGTTTATGCTTAATATAATAAAACGTAAACTGAAAAATATATAACGTGATCAAGTTGCGCTGATGTTGATGAAGATTTTAATGGAAGAACGAATATTGCAAAAGCAGATAATATAACATCTCGAAAGATCAAATAAATCTGCTATCGAAGAATAAGGTAAATGAAATTGAAGACACTTTAGTCGTCTCGAGCGATATCGACATAAAAATATCATACATAGAGCAAGTTTATCGAAATTACGTTCGAAACGTGAAACTGATATTTAATTGTAATAAAATTGTCCGAAACAGAGAAATGGACCGAATCCAATGGCATTTAAAGTTTCGACCATACTATGTACTCGTGTAGTAAGTGTATGTAGGTTAAAAGAGATCGAGGATTTATACTATAGATTATCATTAGTAGATTCTAACTATATACATACTCGTGTTCGTCGGGTCGTTCAGCTTGAATATTCGAATTCTTTTTGTTTCTTTTTTCTCTTTTTTCCAAGAAATTGTCACGCGAATCGCATTGGTCGCTTTAGTATTTGAAAAGGAGGGCAAGTGCTCATGACCGTGACGTGCCAGTGGATCGGTCGATGTTAATATCGGTAGTGGAACGTGACGGTACCAAAACAAGCAGAAAAGAACGAAAAGGGGAAGAGTATAAAACGGGGAAAGAGCAAGGAAAGGGTAAACGTAGAATCGAAAAAGATTTCCATCAGTCGTTGAACGTTGCGTGAACACAATGTTACACGTGCATATATACACGCGTAAATAGGTATATGCTCGCATGCATAGTATCTGCGTTACGTGGAGCATTACTATCGATTCGCCTCTCAGAAGAATCAGAAAACGAAAACGAAAACGAAAACGAAACCGATCGTAATTGTAGTGACGGTGGTCATCGTCATGTTAAGGAGGACATTAAATTAAACGAGGACGACAAATTGACGATACGGCGAACAAAATTCAGACGAAAATTCAATAATTGAAGAAGCAATCGCGATTTCCCGCGTTAAAAAAAAAGAGCAACGAACGATTATCTAGACCATTCAACCATCGACAGTCCTTGCTAACGATCTTGATCTTTCTCAATGTGAATTTCTTTCTTTATGAATTTCTCTATATCGACACGACTCATATTTTGGACAACGATAGGAAACATGTTAACGTTTAGCAGTGGTACGATCGATTTATCGATAGAAATTTGGCTAATTAAGCGTAACGTTTGTAACAAATACAAGTTTGATTTTACAGTTATATGCATATTTGTTGATTTGCACTCACTGGCGCAACTGACATTGTTCAATTTCTCAAAGACGAGAAACGATGGTAATCGTTGAAACGGTTCTTTCCCCGTAATAACCAATTATTCGAAGCGCTAAGAAGAAGCGCTTCTTAAAAGTTGGCAAATGAAAGATACCGCATCTAGATTGACATCGAGATCGGCATTGCCAACGCAGAGCACGGATTCAAGCGCGGCTTTCAAATGATTATAGCCGTAGTAATATTGTTATCGTGTTATCCACAGGCTAATGGAACAGGCAAGAGTTTGTGGTTCATGGAAATCACTAAAGAATCACGATATTGGATTCACTGCTTGGTAAATTCCGATTTATTCTGCGTCTTTCAACGACTCTCTTCTATCTTTCTTTCCTTTCCTTTCCTTTCCTTTCCTTTCCTTTCCTTTCCTTTCCTTTCCTCCCCACCCTTCCCCTCTCCGCCGTTCACCTTTCTCTTCTTTTCTCAATTTATCTCCCTTCCTGCTCCTTCCTATTTTCTTATTTGGAACTACGTTCCACGTTCCAAGCGGAATTTTTTCCCCCTTTCTCTTTGTTCCTTCTCGTTTATACTGTACGTGCATACATATATATGTACGTATGTATGTACGTATAGCTAGAAGCACACGATTAAGTTGGAGATACTCGAACAGTGAATATAAGTACACTGTACGTCCAGTCTATAACGTGTGTCTATAACGTGAATAAAAGAAGAAGAGTGAATGAAGAGGAGTAAATGAAGACTGCATGCGAGGAAAGGGGAATAAAATTGTCGGCTATTTGATTGATTTGCAGACAGGAGTACGACTACCGGAGGGTGCGAGCGCAGCTCTGGCAAAGCCAACCAAGTATCATTATTATCCGCATAATCAGCACATCTACTTGTTGCCAGAATGCGCGGTTCAACAGGTTTGCAATGCGGTTTACGTCAGACTGAACTTTACCCAGCCTCTGTGCGCTTGTCCAGGAAGATACCGCGACCCTTGCAGCGCCTCTCTCGACAGCGACGATCTCCACACTACCGAGCTGGTCACCGACCCTCGAACCAAGGTTAGTCGCCTTGCCTTCTATTCGCTTTACTAGGCTTTCTTTATTCCTGCGGTTGCTCGGCGTCTATCTTTTCTCTCTTCTCCCGAGAAGCACGACAAGACGATGCCACGTTACGCTTATCGAACACCTCGTTACGCTTAACGTAACGTAACGAAACCAAATGGAAGGAATCGATTCTCGAGCCTTTCGACTCTACCTTTTGCTTCTGCTTCGAACTCTGCGACCCTGTTGCAACTTGCTTACTACTGCACGCTTTCAAGCTTTCGTTTCGTTTCGTTTCGTTTCGAATTTTCTGAACATTCCATTCTTACATATCTTCGAAAGACGATTAAACAATTTACAATTGGCGGATTATTATCACGCATGGAAAAACTCATACTTCATATTCTTCACTCGCTTATTTGCACACGTGTTGTACGTGTTTTCTTTGCATTCAACGTTTCTTCTCTTTCCAAAGATGTAATACTTGCTATAATACGTGTTTGTTCTTTTGGAATAGTACATTCAGACATTTGATCTTGTCTATCTTTGTCAATCAATCTTCTGCAATAAATTGCTTTGCGACAAAAAATTACGAATTTCCGAATAATTAAAATGTAGACGAATGTAGACTATGTCTCGAAGGGATCAAGTACTCGTTACAGTTTATTATTAAACATATATATACGTAAATGTTACGGTTACTTAGTGTAGCAGAATACACAGTACGTGTACAGAGTTGCAAAATTATGAAACGATAAAATTGCATAGATGCTCTGAAGCGAAAGCAACGCCTTCTCTCCCCTACCTCTAACCCTACCCTCTCTTTTCCCCTCTCCCTCCACCTTCTTTACTTTTGTTTTCTCCAGTATGGATTATATGTATGTGTAAGTGGTGGAAATGAAATTAGTTGATGTGCAATTTCTATTTCCATCAGTTCGAATACTACAATTGGTAGGCGAAAGCTCTGGATGTGGGAAAAGCTCGACTAATTTAGATCGTAATCTCGAATAACTTTTAAATTAACTTCCTACATGGTTTCTTGCTCTTTTTCCCCAAAGGTTCATTTTTTTCTTTTCCCTTCTCCTTCTCCTTTGTCTGTTTCTCATCGTCTCTCTTTTTCCTTTTGATACCTATTCCTGCCGTAATTTAAACAAATTTTTCTCGCTATCTAACAAAAATCAACAAAATGAAATGAGAGTTCCATTGATTGAACCGTAACAATAGGACATTGTGGTCGATTATAATAATGTTCGATTTGAAAGCGCGGGCCAAGTCGCGAAAAGTACTGTTCAGGCGGCAGTCTATGTATAAGTTATTCGACTTTCAGGCTCTGACTTTGGTGAAAACATGTGAACCGGTGGCGGAAATGCGCGAATGTAGAGTACCAAGAGACTGGTCTCTCCTCGCGCTACAAAACGTGCGAACAGGAAAATCTCACTATCTCGTAATATGTCGCTGTCCCGATGCCAATATATTGGGTACGTAAATACCAAAAAGTATAGAATAATTATATATATACGATATCATATCGTACGTTGATCAGATAGAGCATAATCATTTAAATCTAAAGTTTTAACACTAGAATTCCCAAACTGATATGATACCAAAGTAATCGATTTATTATCGTTTTCGTGTGTTGTAAATGTTTTGTTATACATGTAAAACGTTGTTATATATTTTCAGAAATCTAAATGATTTTTCATAAAGTGTAACTAAATAAAAGCTTGTGTACTCTATCGTAGTATAAAGCTTTTCTATTCTTACGACTCGATGTTGGAATGTCCCTGATGGAAATTCCATGCTTCCAGTTGTGCTGGCAGTTCTAGTGTCAATATGTATTATTTGATATGAATTATTAGCGCGAACCGTAAGTTACAATTACTGGATATTCGTGTATTTCGTAGAAGGTCCTATGAGTCACGATCAGCCGACATACGCCAGTGTACCAGGGATTCGCGTTTACGGAATGATGTGCGTGCAAGGAAATCGCAGAGGGCGACCACTGCGATATACCCGCAGTCTTTCAGGTAATTGAATGTGCAACTTGAAAATTGAAAATGTCAGACGGAAGACGTTTACACAAATGATGCGCAACTATCGGCTCGAAGCGTGTAATCCGCGTTCAAGTTGTCATCGACGCGGACTACTGGTCAATTCGTTCATTTCATCGTTTGACGTTCCTTACAGATCACTTCCAACGAGAAATCGGCCAGGACAATAACGAAGAAAATGCAAACGACCGGTTGAACTTCCCGTGGTACAAAGTACAACAGCTAATGGACGCAGCTCTTTGGGACTAGACTCGTTAGCCAAACATTCACAACGATACGAAGTGACGATCAGTAATGACATTATGCTTAACGGCATTTTTTTTCTCTCTTTTATTTATTTATTAAGAGTTTCTATTTGCTTCGCTTCGCTTCGACTCTCCTAGCTTCCTTTTACTCGTATTTATCGATCCGTCCCCGTTTCTCACATTTATTTATACATATTACATGTGTTAGATATAGTTTATAGTTGATAGTTTTATAGCATCGGATCTAACATCTCGATAAGCAGTGACAAGATCGTCAAAGCTACTCGTTCGTAGATTTCGTTGCCTTTAATTTCGACTACGCGACGTGATCGTCCGTAACGATCGAATGCGATCAACGTTAAATATGTAATTGCCAACTGCTAATATTGCGACAAACTACGTCTTCTTTTAGATCTTGTTGCTAGATCGACTGAAGTCGACTCTGTCTATTATACATTGGTAAATTTTTCGACCGAAAAGTAAATACGCAGAGTTTCCCGAACGTGTTGTTGTACTATTCAAAGATGGAATTGACTTTTTTCCTGTGACTTTTAGTTCCCTGACAAAACTGGCATAATAACAGGGAATCTCAGACACAAATTACTTTTGACTGTTCATTTATCCGATCAAAGTAACAAATCAATCATATTAAGCATACTTGATATTAGAGAAATATGTAATCTGTTATTTACATCCATGGTAAAATTCGTCGATACCTTTTTGTTTTATTTGGATGTATGTGTGTTGGAACAATAGAAGATGTGAATGAACTGGCCTTGATATGAAATTACAACAAGCACAACTACAAAGCTATTGTACATGTGTATTTTACACTACGAGTTGCCAAATTCTTGTGGTCGCACAATCACTTTACTATTAAAATGTTAAGGTAGGTAGATCATAGATAGGACGTCGTTCGACGTAACATAGAACCTTGAGATAAAAATAAAAATCTCTCGAGACTGTTTTTCAAATAAACTTTTAATACTGAGCTTGTCCAATCACCCGCCGATCCTTTTTCATATCGTAGATATAATTATTCATATATATATATATATATATATATATATATATATATATATATATATATATATATATATATATATATATATATATAATACCTGTTCCCTGGTATTACGTATTATATTATAATATTCCCTGCTCATACATCCAACCCACTTACATGTGTAATTCATTCAACTTGATGAATCAGACGAAAAAGATAAAAGCAAAAGTAAAATCGGGGAGGCAAATATGAAAATATGATTCGTTTCACTTACCTAATACATCCGAATTGACTAGAACGTTGCAGCTGTACATCGGAGTGACTAATCGAGGGTGTTTTGAATTGAATGCACGACGGCAAGCTTCTTTGCATGCTGACATCAAGTGGCCGCCGTCCATGTGTCCTTGATTTTGACTGCTATTTTCGCTAATAACATACATTTACGAGATTAAAAGGAGAAAAGGAAAAAGAAGGAACGGGAAGAAACAAGAGATGAAAAAGGAAAACAGAGGAGAAAGAAACGTTATTCCACGATATTAATATTGAGCAATACCTTTGTGATTCTTGGTAAATTTCCCACTTCTTCACGACAAAACAGACACCCATCATAGGCTCCTCGCATAGAGGTCCGGCAAGCGTTGCCAATTGGAAACCATTGACCATACTGCTTTCGTAACTATATACAGTAAATAAATATAAATATTAGAATGAATACGTATTAAACAAAGATTGTATCTCATTGAGCGAGACAAAATGTCTTAAAATGGTCTCGTTTAGTTATTAATCTTAGATTCTCCGAGAGAGAGAGAGAGAGAGAGAGAGAGAGAGAGAGAGAGAGAGAGAGAGAGACTGGAAGAGTAGCTTTTCCGTATTAATAAACATGTACTTACGGAGCACGTGGGTCCGTAGAGTTTGAGTGGCCTTCCCAAAATTTTCTGTGCTCATAATCGGTTTCGTTCAACAAGATATTGGGCCCACAGTTTCGCGGTCCGAACGACCATATTTTGTCCAATACATCTTCTTGGCTTGCTTCTCGAAACGCAGTAGCCAACTCGGTTTTGAACGATTCCAACGCTCGTTGCTTCTTCTCCGACATCGAATGTAAAGGTTCCATCTCATGATCAATCACGGTGACTTCTTCGCTTCCCTCCACTTCTCTTTCCGAACGCAATTTCCCATAGTAATGATATAACGCCTTTATCAGATCGACGTTCTTTTCCAAAATTTTCGTGACTTTCTCAGGCAGAGGTCTCGCATCGATTTCAAAGTAACATCGTCGATTCGGAGACCAGGTTCCGCAACTAACGTCCTCGGCTTTCTTCTCGATCACTTCGTTTACCATGTCAACCTTGGGAGGAGGTACGACCGTTTCTTTAAACGGCACGATAGGCTCCGACACGTTTATGTCAACCTTTGCATAGCGTAGCTTCAAATCTTCCAAACATCTCTCCAAGTGCACTTCTCCAGCAGTGTTCAACACAATTTCCCCGCTTTCCTGGATGTGAACGACGGCGCAAGCATCTGCCTGATTGAGCAATTTCAACCCGTTGATCAACGATTGTAGATCATTGGGATGTTTCGGTTCAAGAGCTACTCGCATTATCGGTGTATCGAGCGAAGTGTACTCTGAGAATGATGGACAAGCAACGGTGGTGGAAAGCGTTGCTGTTTTCAACACGTAGTCTTCCAAATCGCCGATTCCAAATACGTTTCCAGCAAACACTTTGTTCGTAGATTCTAATTCTCTACCCATTAAAAGATATAGCTTTCGTATAGTGACTCTGATCACGTGTCTCCCAGGTTTTAGGTCTTTCAATGGAACGTTCTCGTCTATCGAGAACTCGCCCGTTCTCTGTCGTTTCAAGACGTCACGTGGGTCGTGCTTTGGTCCTAGAACGTACACGACACTTCCTTCTTTCAGGCATCCGGAATATATTCGAGCAAACGCTATCAACGTAGTGTCCGAATTTTCATCGTTCACGTCGTCTTCATCGGAAACTGAACTTTCCGATCGCGTTGAAATCTCATCAGAGTAATTCGAATTGCATCTGTTGACGTCCTGTTGCATCTGCTGGCCAGATTCTTTCGCCGATTGTTGTTCCTTCTTTATTTTCTCCGCGTGTTTCAGTCTTGCCATTTCCCTTCGTTCGGCCAGCTCTTCTGGGGTCAACGGTTTAGGTTTATTCTCTGGCAGCATCTTTCTCTCTATTGGAAACATTTTTGAAATGAACACAATGGTGGGTGATACGGGAGAAGGATCGCAAGCCAAGAACTTCTCTTTTAACTGTTGCGTTTCCTCTGGCAATGTAGAGAAATCGAAGTTTCCGCTGAGCAAACGTTCTATTTTCTCTGAAGTTAAGCGACACGGTGCTGGAACTATTTCACATATGGCATCGAGGCAGGCACGGGACAGAGGTAGCCACTGGGAAAAAACTACTTTTAATTGAGTTTTAGGATCTGTATGTCTCAAATCTCTCGTTGTCAATTTTATATCCAATCTCTCAACCATCGAAGCTATCTTATCCTTGTCCTTACGGATACTTATCGTTTCGTACAGAGTCCACAGATTATCCAAAATAAGTTGAACGAACAGGGGCTTTTTTGCTTTCTCTTGAGCCCCTTTCATGATCCTCTTTGTTTTCGTATTTACGTAATAATCACCCCAAAGCGTCTTCTCTAAAACCTTCTTGCTAAAGCCTAGTTTGGTCGAAAATATTTCGGCAAATTCTTTGATGCCAAATCCCCAGCCATCTGTAGCACTGGCAAATAGGACGTTACCTTGTTCAGGAGAGAAGTATAAAGTAGAGTCGTCTACCTCCTCTAGCACAGACTGCCAATCTTCTATGTTTCTTTCGGACATACTTTCTGCCGTTTCTTTTTTCAACTCTTCCTTTTCTTCACGCTCCATTATGTCACTGGCAAATAACTCTCCCATTACAGCGTTGACTTGCTCTAAAACTTGCGTCAGATGCACGTAAGCATCCAAAGGAGACAATTTCATTTCTGCAATCAATCTATCCATTTTGTTCAATACCAAGATTGGTTTCAAACCTTCTGTGTATGAAATGGATAAAGCACTGCGCGTCTGCGGACACACACCTTCTACCACGTCGATTAGGATGAAAGCACCATCGCATAATTTAACAGCCGTTGAGACTTCAGAAGCAAAGTCTACATGTCCTGGAGAGTCGATCAGATTAATAACAAATTCTCGACAATTGTATTTGTGATAAAGAGCAATTGAGCTTGACTTCATTGTAATTCCTCGCAGCTGCTCGTCAGGACGGCTATCCAAATATCGTAATTTACCAGCAAGCTTATTAGAAATGATTCCATTGCTGGCAACTAGCGAATCTGCTAAAGTGGTTTTGCCATGATCTACGTGAGCTAATATACAAATATTTCGTATATTAGCCGGTGTCTTTTGAATTTCAGCTAATTTCTCCACAGTAATGAGTCTCATGATGAAATTCGTCGTGATACCGTCAATTTATATACAAATACAAACAATGTGAATTTTTGAAGCGTCGATATATATATACGTAAAATATACGTAAATATGTGTATACGTAAAATATGATGGATACTAAACCAAAGTCTTGAAGATCATGTAGACTCGACTTTACCAAACAAACCGAACAACAAATAAACGAACAAACGAATAAGTACAAGAGAAAGAAAGTTCAATGTACAATACAGCTTCCTATAGCTATAAATAATAGTAAACACTATTTCACTTTATTCTGTTTCCATAAAACATAGCGTTCGCTAAACAGAAGGATGTATCGTAAGTTTGTTGACATTGTTGTCGTGTTCCACAGCATGCCACTCGTATCGGTTGCTTAATAGGTCGCAACAGGAACAACTTATTGGCCAAGAATTGACCGTCGTGACTGTCTCTTCTTCTATTAATCTTCCCACACATATATTTATTAAAGATAAAATTATTTTGACACTTTTTCTTATCCTCACAGGTTAGAATCATTTAACGAAATGTATCGTCTCGTATCTTGGTCAAATGCGTCTTATGACTTCCCAGTGTCAAATCTGATCTTATTCTGTCCAAAAAGATTGATTTTCTGCGTCAATGCATTGCTTGGGAAAATTCCGACAAATGAAAAACGTGTGTTGAAAATTCAGTGTCCACCAAGAGTCACATATGTAGACATAATACGTAATACACACTCAAATAGCTTCTGTATCATGCAATTATTTCGATCAAAGTGATGAAAATTGCTTGCAAGTAATCGCAATTGATCAATATCTCGGCGAAAGTGTTAGAAACTTTGCAAAAGAAAATATCAGTTGCAAGTCAAACGTTACTCGTTATATCACAAATGCACATGCGTTGCTTCTCATGTCACGAATGCACATGCGTAAATTAATATGGCGGCTCTGCGCCATCTTTGATTCTTTTTCTTACTGTCATTGCTTAAACATATTTTAGATCTTGTACCATGAGTATATCTTGTTAGTGACGATATATACCATAAACGAATAATGTAGATTCGCTACCACCTGTAACAAATTAGGAAACTTACTATGAAAAATGTTGAGAATCTTAAAAATAAATTGTAATTTAATGAAAATAACTGAACGCGAAATGATGAAATTATCGGTATTTTAAACTATTGTAACTTTGCAAAAGAAAATCATACAACAATCTACTTAATCTTACTTTAAAGAGTAAAGCTTCTACTTTGATTGTTCTAAGTTTGTTTATTATTTATGTTAAAAATCGACGTGACTATTTAATTTTGTTCACCACTGTATTTCACCTAATATAATGGACTTTTACATTTATTTTCTATCTTTTTTAATTTATACAAGCTTCCGCAAATTTCGATTCTCGAAACTGTTTATCATATTTGTTTCATCTTATTTATTTATTTATTCACAAGATTCTTTTTTATCTGAAATTTAAGCTTCATAAATAAAATATTCATCTAACTGTTTAATGCGAAAAATTATTTTTTGATCTTCGACAATTACAATCACAGACAAGATATATAAAATATAAATATAGATGTCACATCTTATGGGATTTCATGTCTCATGTCCTGAAGTACCAACATAGTAAAAGATCAATGGTTTTTTTAGCGCACTCTGCGCTTAATCAACGGAGAATTGGAGAACTACATCAAGTAAAACGATCGAAGTTGATCAATTAGTAAAGTCGCCAGAGATATGATTTTTGAAATTCATTAGTTTTTGTTAAATTTTCAGTTTCTCACACACATATGTCATTTGTATCTGCGGATAGTTTTTTGTAGCAGTAGTGTGTCTTTCATTTTAATTTATTTTGTTAATCCGAAATACAATCCATCATGGTGGGTATATTTAACAAAATTTATTAAAGATATCTACAAAAATAATGACGATTCATTATCAGTTACACAAATGAATCATCTAGCAATATGTTATAAGTTATATTATACAAGAGAAGTTAAAACATTTATGGTCAAAATAGATGATTGTTTGCAGTTACAAATTTTGAGGTTATGTGAATGAGCTTTGAACGTTTTTGAATACTTTATTTTTAAAAGAATGAAAGATATAATAAGCTAGATGAATTGGAGTAATCCACAAAATATGATTTCAGAGTCGCGTCAGGACAAAGACAGTCAAAAAGGCCGCAAAACTCATCATCGAGAAATATTATACCCGATTGACCAATGATTTCCATACAAATAAAAGAATATGCGAAGAAATTGCTATCATCCCTAGTAAATCTCTGAGAAATAAAATCGCTGGGTATGTATTTATAAAGAAAACTATTTGTTTAGTATAAAAACGTCTTTAAGGATAGTTTTAAAAAATAATAAATTTTATAACTTGATGAATTTTTTATCTAAGTTATTTTTTTTATTGTTTTTAAGATTTGTCACACACTTGATGAAGCGTCTTAGACACAGCCAAGTACGTGGTATTTCCATCAAACTCCAAGAAGAAGAAAGGGAACGCAGGGATAACTATGTCCCTGAGGTGTCTGCTTTGGAGCATGATATCATCGAAATTGATCCAGAAACTAAAGAAATGTTACAAATGCTTGGTTTCAACAACATCCCAGGCCTTCAACTAACGCAGTCACAATTACCACCATATAGCAGACGTTCTTAAAGTTTATTTTATTATATTAAATAAGATTATTAACATTGCACTTTTCAGTAAAACTACAAGTTGACATTCTGAAAATTCATTTGTACATTTATCTTGATTTCTTATAATAACATTGCGTTAATACAATGTAAAAGAAAAGAAGAATGAAAAAAAACTTTAAAGTCAATTCCAGAAAAGCAAGCGCTCAACAACCGATCGTTACTAAATAAAATGAAAATATAAACAAAAATTAAATAAAATAATGTTTGTTGTGTTTTTACGTTAATTTGTATAATTTTAATTAAAAGAAGTAAATCTTTGTATTAAGAATCTCATGAGTGCTGTCATCTGTCGAACTTGTTTGAAAACAAATAGCAGAAAAAGCAATGTATTGCCATCTAACGGTTGTAGAGAGAACTGTAGAAGATGGGAGAATAAAGACATAAGATCCGATAGATGACAGCACGTAGATTATTTTTGTACTATACAAAGTTTGATAATTCGAAACAGCGACTTGTATAACTATGCAATTTCTCGTAAACTACATTCAGAAGTTGCATCGAAATTGAACATAGAGGGAGCTGAAAGTATCAAGTCTAAAATTCGTACGTACAAAATAAAAATTAATCACGCGGAAGATTATATCTTGTAACACAGACAAGGTACATGAATTCATATACCTCATCTGTACTTGTAATTTCAACATAATACCTTTCGATCTATCGGATAGAATTTGTAAATCTCTATTTCACGCATTTCATTGATCAAATCGAATACAAGAAAACATTTGTTTTGCAAGATGTATTTATACGTAGAAGCAATTATTTCATTTATGCCAAGAAAAATGCCAAGAGTGCTTTGTAATAATAAATTATTATTAAAATACTTAAATAATAATAAATGATAATAATATATTATTATAAATATATATAAATTATAATAATAAATGATAATAAATTATTATTAAACTATTAGATCGTTGCATGATTTTTTTAAAGTTATAACAGTCTAAAGTATCGATAGTTTTTTATTTAAATTAATTCCGATGCAAATCTGACTCCACGAAAACAATTTATATCGCCAAAATAACGATGGTAACAGGGTCATAAAATTTTTTTTCGAAAGTCAGAACCTCCTACAAAACACTACACATTTTGCTTTTTCTATTCTACATGCAAATACTCGATAAAATATTTATGTTAAATAAATTTCACATGTGCGTGCAGTTTTACTAGTCACTGTAACACAACGATGCTTATTGTTAGATATAAGAATGTAATGAAATAACAGTAACTTTCAAAATGATGATACAATAAATTTATTCCAATATCTCCTATCTCTCTTTTTATGACATAAAAAAAGTTAGAATTTCCTAGAACAGATATGTATATACTTAAATTGGTCCGTCATTAAACAAAATAGGTTATCCACGAGGAAAATGGAATATGCAGCAGGTACGTATGCATATGGTAGTTTAGAAGATAAAATAATTGAAAAATTAAATGAATATCATTCTATTGTTAGATATAAGAATGTATTCTGTTTAATCAAGCATCGGTGACTGTATTTTGTCTCTGCCGCACGATTGTTACGCAATTGGAAGAAAAGTAATAACTACTGTTGAATCGAAGATATTCGACGATATTTGCAATTGAAGTAGATTGCGTGTAACTACTACGTTAATAGATTAATTGGAATGCATCGCAGCCGGTAGAATTGCCCGGTCAAAATGTATCGAGTATAGTTGTCGAAATCTTAGGATGAAGAACACGGTTCTAACAGTACTTTTTTACTCGTGTCTCAAACTCTTTGCGGAAGTGCGTTCTAATACGAGGTATTGTGATGTGAAACAAAAGAAAGACGATTCTCTCTCTTTGTAAGATACCTATTAATTAAAAAAGTTACATTGTATTATCACTAGAAAGTAGAAAGTTTGCAATTTTCAAAATATATATATATATATATATATATTCCGTCTCGTTGCGTATACTTGCAATTAAAAAATGTTTCAAAAATTATTTCCAATGTATATTTTAAATATTTCTTTCTTTTTTTATTACTCTGTCAACTTCCCTTCGAACCTCTTTGTTTCTTCTTCTACCAAATATTTTCAAAAAATTTTAAACATTTCCCTGTATTTTTTAATAATACTATTCAAATTATGTCTTATTCTCGTAGCTTTTTGACCGATGACGCGAAAAATTCCACTTTAAAGTCGAGGATAGTTCTGCCGGAGCATTACGTAAAAGGTTAGTCATTAATTTAATCAAATATTTATGCTTACTATTATAAGTTGACAATAATACTAATAACGATGATCATCATAACAATAATAGTATAGCAATAATGATATTTTCGAAAAATCTATTTTAGATGATCACGCTTGTATATTTTTATAATTATATATACGTGTGATTGCATGCTAATCAATACTCAAATTAAATATAAAAAAAAAAAAAAAAAACAACACAGAAATTAGGCCTCCATTGAAACAAGGTTTACCGGTGATAGTGGACTTCAATATCTTCGTAGCTGATATCAATTCGATAAATGTGGAAGATATGGACTTTCGGTGAGTCAAAATGATAGATATGTATTTATCTGTATACTGTGCAAAATGCATGGGAAAATATGCAAATAATATTTTACTCGACTAGTAGATTCGACCTATCTTAATTAAAATTTCTTCAACAACTGTAGCTATCGTAACTACTATATTATTAGTAATATAATGTCTTTTAACCCTCAGTTCCCTCGTCTTTTATAATATAATAATTTGCAACTCATCTTCTCTCCCTATACCTAACATTTTAAACTCTTACTCTCACGCCATGTACGACACAGTGAAAAATATTGTAGCTAACATTTTAGAAAAAAGTTTGTTCGTGGCTATCGTAGATGAACTTTATATCTTCGATTTGATGGAAATGTACATGTAAAGAACCTGCAAAGAAACCTTGAAAAATCGGAAAAAAGTTTCTTAATCATTTAACGCTGCGCGCTACAACGATTTTATCAAAGGTCCAGAATTCATCTATGACAGACACGGACAAACTTTTTTTTCCATCCTGTACGTATGTACAGTATTTAGTTGAAGCTAAAACATTTCGTAACTCGCTTGTTGAACACCTGGTTAATACAAGTATACCTACACAAGTACTATCTACTTGTATTTCAAACTATGTTCAAACAAGTAATTATTACGCGTACATCACATACATAACTAACGATTGCCACGGAAATAACAGAATTACTCGTCAAACAGAGTGGACATGTTTGTTCGTCAAAGTTGGATCGAATCTCGACTCGATATGCCAGACAACATCTTCGAGGAGGGCGACGATTATGTGACGCTACCTCCTGAATTTTTCGACAACTTGTGGCAGCCAGATCCTTACTTTTTAAATGCAAAAGTCTCTGGTGAGTTTTATCACAAATACTATACTACGTATTATTTACATATAATATGAAGCAAGCTGTTCGAGAAAATGAATTACAAATTGATGATTTTTTTTTCGTACCTTTACTCCTTGTATGCGAGAGTTGACTTAAAAGTTGACGTAGTGGACGTTTGAACGAGGCGGCTGGACGTTGCACTAGGCGATTCAACTAACGCGTCTTGCAGTTTCGTCCTGTTTAACTATTTCTGAACTACTGTTTATGCGGCCCGTTGGAGTCGGCCCTTATATACGGCCAACTGTTTGTCTTCTTCCCGATCACGTGATCGGGAAGGTAAATCGTTTTATGGCTATTGGGAAAGTTAGTCCCATAAAATAATTACTATTCCCTCAATTACTTTATGGGCTTAACTGCCTAGGGATGCGCCCATCCATTGGTAATGGACATACCTTTGTTTGTAGCAAGGTATCTGTTCTCTAATGCACAATACAAGAAAAGAAAGAAAGAAGCGCAAGGACAGAATGCGTTAAATTATATATAATTTTTGAAGCATAAATTATAATTTTACATTTTAGTTTGCAGTTAGTTGTATATACGTACGAAAGACAAGAGTATTGAAAAATGGATAAAAATCGGTATTAAATGTAATATAACACAATGGCGCGACCTTTCATGATCCGTTAGATCCATGTCCACTACAAGTATACAGATCTGTTTCGTTAATTATATTTGTACAACTCGACGTTTATTCAAAAGCGCTGCAAGTCGTCCGATTCATTCGATAGCTCGCATAGAATCCAATTGAGTTCAGTTCCGTCTGTCGTTTATAGTTTTCGAATTATAGCATCATTATCCCTTCGAGAGATTTCGCAGTTTCTAGAAGGTCCGAGGATCCTTTGTGTCTGTTTTATGTTTCCCCTAATGTGAATTTTATTATACTAGCGACTTCCTTTACAATGGCATATGGTATTAATTGAAAAGCCAATAACGATGCGTGAATCTGATCAGATATTGTATGTGTCGATAAGCGATGAAAAAAATAATTCCTCGCCACTTATCTTCTTTGTGTGACCGTGAAATAATCTTCAGCTGACTACCATATGTACTTTCAGTAATGATTTTATAAAGATTTTATAAAGATGGAACTTTTCATTCGCATACGTAAATCTTGATTGCAAAAATACGAATACGTGTGTTGTTTGAATTTAATTAATAACGATGAATTAAAATTTTTTTTCTTTTTTTTTTTTTAGAAATTGCGGCGTTAAATCACAAATTCTCCTCTGTTACGTTGTACAGAAACAAAACGGTCAAATATTCGGCACGGATGCATGCCATTATCGCTTGTCAAATGGAATTTCAACTATACCCAATGGACATTCAAATATGCCCCATCTACATAGAGAGTTGTAAGTTTAACGACGAAACAAGACTCGCTAATATATAAAATAATATCTCGCTCATTTTTAATATTTCCTTCGATTAATTCGCTTCGTTCTTCGCTTTAATCATACTTACAATTAGATTGCAATTGCAGTTTATTTTAAGCTTTTGTGAAAATGCATTGAATGCACAACGCATGTACATACGTATAAAATATTCAAAGTATGCCAAGCAAACAAAAAACAAATCTCTGACAACATTTTACTTTTTAATTGTATTCAAATAAAATTCGCATAAATATTTGATCGCACTGTGGAGACACATTGTTATTGACAAGTTTCTTCGTACCTCTAAACTTAATAGTAGAGATGATTACATTGTATAAATTTCTTGATCCACATTGTACGCAGTTCCAAATTCTAAGGAATATCACCTAAAAGTTCTGCAACAATATATTTTATAATGATAGATCATTGTTGAAACTGATTGCAACGTATGCCTGAAATTTCTATGAGGGAACGAGTTGAAAATCATTTAAGATCTATTTACGTACTATAATACGCGCGTAAATTGTTGAAGTTAAAACTCGGAACACCTGTTTTTTACTTCAGTCTTCCTATTAATATGTCACGTTTCTTTTGTATTCAAAAGTATGTTGATTACCAACTGCTCCTTGAAACTTCAAACTTTGTTTCATTTTATTATGATTTACCACGCGTGTGACATTTCGACAAATTGTCAACTGTATTAGATAGTTAATTGAAGAGAAAACACTAAGGAGGAAACTTGTTCTAAGCTACGCGATAGTAACAAAATAGTAACAAAAACAATTGGCACAAATTCGCATGTTGTTGAGATATTGAAATATTCAAATTCAAATTACCCATAGATGTTGAAACGTTCTTACTTAATTAGGCTGCAGACTCTTATAACCGTAACCGTCTTATAACCGTTCCAAGTCACCGATTATCATCCATCCGATTTCTACCCGTCGATCCCAAACTCAACAGATTCACCGCATTAACTTGGAAAAAACTGCTATACTCGCGACAGTTTCCTATCACAAACAGAAGTTACGCTTAAGATGGGGAGCGGGTGCAGTGACGGTGAATCCAGAATTGAAGCTTCTACAATACGACATCGGGAAGCCGATGGTTGCTGAAGAAACTGTCGACTATATGGTCGAGAAAAGTGGTATGGATCTTCGACGTTTCGGTGTAAAAACGACATTCGGACTCGGAATGTGTATGTTCAATTGATTTACAGGAAATTTTTCACGGCTGGTGGTGTTTTTCCGATTCGAAAGACAGATTGGTCATCATCTGATACAGACCTTTGCACCGTCCACGTTGGTAGTCATGCTATCTTGGTTTAGCTTCTGGTTGGGATTAGATGCGATACCTGGTCGTGTAGCTCTTTTAGTAACCAGTATGCTAACCTTGGTTACTATGTTTACTGGTCTAAAAAGCGATATTCCACCGGTCGCTTACGTGAAAGTTAGTTCTAATATTATTCACAGCTAAACGGACTATCAATTGTCCGTTGAAGTTGAAAACCATGCTGTTTTCCTCGCTTTCCTTCCTTCTTCATTTTGTTCTTTTTTTCTTTCAAGTACTCTGTTCGTAAAAAAACAATATTGAATATCATCTACCTATATATTAATGAATTTTAATCCATTTCGGATTATGTGTACGTATGTATGTATGTATATAGGTACGTAGATTCGAGGAAAATGGCAAGGTCAGTTAATTAGCGAGATTATTCTTTTAACCAAAAGCTTTTATAATCGACTGACGAATGAAAAGTTAACAGAGATAAATTAAATTTCAATTAACTCGCGTTAAAGTCCTTGTAGATATAAATATAAGTTATACAAGTTATTTTAACAGAGAAATGTAAATTAACAAATTAAACAAATTAAATTTCTATTTTAAAGGTGTATAAAGGTTGCTTTATAGCACACTATTCGTACATATATGAAATGGTAACAACACGGTTCCTTTTATTATTTTGACATATTATGGTGCGCTATAAACGCTATATAAAGACCACAAATAAAGACAAAAAACATGATGAGCAATTTCTAAATTATCAATTTCATGTATGTTATCATTAAAATTGTTCTTTTATCTAAATGTGGATTATACAATATGTAATTTTAAAATCATTCTATGAACTAAAAATTACTCTTTACTTTTATTTATAAAATTTGTTTAATTTATCAGCCATTTTCAGTAAATTTAAAATTATGAATATAACAGATGAAAATCAAGAAATTAGTAAAAGTGGCCTTACTATGCTCTTGTGCTGTGTATTATGTACATACATACAAATATTATATATATACATGTCTTGTATCGTCATTCTTATTGTTAGGAACAATAGAAATTTTACCTGATACTGCCTGAGCTTACCAGAATATGTTCGAGTTTGAACGAACTATACATTGAATGCATCGTGTTTGAACAGTCTTTACTTGCAAACTATTCTCTAATGGTATCTTTAATGGTATTCTCTATTAGTTTTAAATAGTATTATTTATTAGTTTTAAACTGTAATACTAATACTTCTTCAGTGGTCTTCTATTTTCTATTTGTGAATAATTTAATGACTTTTTCTTTTCTTATCATTCTTATTTAGTAATAGTATTTATCTTATGGCAATAAATGCAAACTTATCAAATGATAGCTATTACATAATATGGAAAAGTATTGCTTTCATATTTGATGTTATCAGACATGGGTTATGATAGGATAAATGTTACGTCTTTGGCTGAACGAAACCGTTCCATTACGATATGTTGTGATAGTATAAATCAACCTTAATATTACACCATTTCAATGTTCCGATATTAATGCGATCTAATTTTTCTAATTAGCTTTTCTAATAACTCGAAAATTGATATAAAATATTGATTGATAAATTTTGATGTAAAATATCGACCGATAATTATTATATCGCTCTAATATATTTTTATACGTTTAGGCATTAGATGTTTGGATGGCAGGCTGTATGATGTTTGTGTTCGCTGCTCTTGGTGAATTCGTTGTGGTAAAAGTACTCGACTTGCGGTATCAATTGGAGTATGATTTCCAGTCGTCAATGTTCCGACATCACTCAACAGTTTGTATAACAAATTTCTCATTATTGTTATGAACGCGAGTTAAAGAGAATTAAATCCATTCAATACAAAATAAAAATTAACAGATTGATTCTTCTATTACATTTTTAAAATTTCGTTCCATGCGTTTATCGTCCCTGCATCGCAACCTCTGACAAAACAAACTTACAACATTTATTTGATATAAATTGTATTGCACGTTTCATCAAACATTTGTTTAATCTTTTGATTCAGATTGAAAACAGACGTTTTACTCGTATTATTTTTAGCGTATAATTGCCATGGAAAAGGGTCAAAGCATCTGGGATTATGACTCAACGTATGTACCAAAAGCAAGAAATAAAAGAGCTGGTAGCAAGCATCTTTTACAAAATGCGTGGCTAGATCCTGAATATCCAATAATACGTGTATACAAAACACGATCGCAAAAAATTGACACTTACAGTAGAATAGGTTTCCCTATACTATTTATGCTGTTCATTGTTTTATATTGGCCGATACTTTTACTCAAAAAAGCAACATAATATTACAAATACATAATATAACTAGGAAAAAATCTACAAATCATTAATGAAATTATCACGTATTGTACAGAACTATTCATACTGATAATAATTTAAGAGAAATTACTACGCGAGCAAAATACATATGTGTAAATAAGTACATGCAACATGTGTAAAAAAATTTATATAAATAGATTTGATGTATTTTTTTAAAAATATACATTACTTGAGCAATCAAAATACATATACATTAAATGAAAATAATAAATAAAACAAAATAAATTATTCCAAATTTATGATTACAGTTATTCATTAAATATATAAAAAGTAATCTATTTCTTTATTTTTGGTTTTCTATTCAATTTCCTCAATTTCCATAGAATTGTTATTTGTAGCTTTGAAAGCGCCAACTTTTTTCAAATAACTCATCGTATATTGATTAAAATCACATCTGTGTAAAGTTAAAATGATATTAATAATAATAATATTAATAATTTTAAATCATCAATGTATAAACATAATATACTAACATTTTACTCAGATCATCGTACTTCTTCTGCATATTTTTCTGCAACGTCAGCAGTATCGGCATTTGAAGAGCCGTATTTATTTTTGTTCCGTGATTAGTTAGTATAACTTCTATCCAAAGAAGATAAAAATGTATGTGCTTGGTATATTCCAATTCTGACGCTATGAATTTTAATGCTTTTTCGACGTAAATATCGGATAAGCCCATCACAGTTAAATTAACTAAAATAAAAGATGTGATAAATGTGTTAAATAATTAATAGTATATTAATAAATTACTATTAACTTACTGTCTGAACATGGAATATTTTCTATAACGCATTTTATTAACAATTTTTCATTCAATTTCAAAGCCATCATTAACGCTGAAAATTGTTTTTATTAGTATTATACTTTTATTTATTCTGAAGAAATTATTTTGTATATAAATTCTAAACCTTTTGCGTATTGCTTTTGACTTAAAGTTTTTTGCACGCTCTCTGGCGTAATTCCTAATTCTAATTCAAATGGGTCAAATACTAATCCAGCATCTAATGAATATAATAATAATCCTTCCGTTGTCGCAGCAGCCCACGCCTGTCCTATATACGACGTAGACGAGGTGTATTATTAAAATTACTGTAAAAGTAACTATTCTGAACCTGTTTGGAAATTAAATCTCACCTGTTGGGGAAAACTGTAAACTATATACCCTAACTTCTGGCTTTATATTTCTGCTTGCCATATCGCCATTTTTAACGCCCGGTAATCGTAACTTTACCTCTCCTCCTTCATTTTCTTCGCGTTCTTCTACTAACGCCAAATTTCCAAATTCTGTTAAATTTCGCTTATTTATAATATCCTATATAAAAATAAATTTTTATTAAAATTTTATTAAAATGATAATACATCCTCTTAGAAGATAGCAAAAATATTTCAAAGTTGACGTGAAAAATTTCTTACATCAACTGCATCCAGTGATTTGTTTTGTGTTATAACAAATTTTCTCATAAGTATAAATTCTTGTACATTGTAAATACATATATTTACAGAATGTCCACCAGCTAATATACACGTACCATCAGCTGAGTAACAAAGAACAGAAAAGGCCCTAAAAATTTGATTTGATTAACCCGATATTAATTTCTGTTTAAATTACTTTGATTTTGTTATATAAGATATATTCTAAAAACACTTACTTGCCCTTCAGACTTTTCTTAGCCGTAATAAGATCAGTATCAGACCTGCCACTACCTAAATCATTTCTTCCTTCAATACTACCAATTTGCGTCGCCGTTTTGCAATGGAAAAATGAGATTTGCCCATTCAAAGTTGCCACTGCTACTTCTTCACCATTCGGTTTGTACGTAACATATAAACCATCGGCAGTCAACTGTATCGTTTCGTGTGAGGAACCATTTTCAATCGCGTTCCATATCTTTAATGTTTTATCCCAAGATACAGATACTAATTCTGTGCTTGTGGCACTTGGATTAAATGCTAAACTGGCGACTGGACCTTCGTGTCCACTCAATATCTAGCGTATGAGATATACAATACAGATTACTGAGAATCCTTAAAATTTTTAGAACATCGATACTTTGAAAGTTCATGGCAAAAACTCAAATTTTTTTTATTTTAAAAAAGCAAATAATGAAAAATTTGTCGAATATTTAAGATTTCGAAAGTTCTAATTTTGTTGTTGTCACCTCCATTGATTTTATTTGTTATTAAATGTAACTACAGCCACTAATCCTTAATGTGTGCAATTTTAAAATATTTCTCAAAAATATACCTCTAAAAGTGTGCCTAGTTTGACGCTCCACAAATAAATTTCAAAAATGTCTTGGCCTCCGGCTGCAAGAAACTCATCGCTTGAATCTAAAGCAACGCAGGAAAATTGTACAGGTCGCGGAGAAGTAAGAGTTCGAAAATTCCTGTATCTTGCTAAGTCATAAGCTCTAACAGTTCCGTCAAGCGATGCAGAAACAATAAATTTCCTATTATGACTAAACATTACTCCTGTTATTGCAGATGTATGTTCTTGAAACGTAATAGAACAAAATCCGTTCATGGTGTTCCATAATTTAACTTTTCCGTCATCACCTCCAGTAACAATGTACTGACCATCCGGACTATATGCTAAACAGTTCATATTATTACTGTGACCTTGTTGTTTCATAGCATAAGTTTCACTTTGCCACTCCCATACTAATAATTGGCCAGCCGTAGAACATCCTAAGGCTATCCAATCACCAGTTGGATTTATAGCAATAGATGTAATACGTTGATCTGATATACTGAAAAATGTAGTTTATTAAATATTACATTAATGTTAAAAAGATGTAAGTACACTGCCAATATAAGCAACTAAACAAACCTTAGAGAATGTATCATATTTACATCAGGCATTTCATATAAATAAAATGAACCATTGCTAAATCCTACTACTAGGATATGAGTCTGCTGATGATATGCAGCTGCAGTGAGTGTCACTTTTATCTTTTCTTGCTTTTGAACATCATTAGCTAAGTAATGACGACCCAGTTTAATATAACGTAATTGTTTGGTTTCTGTCTCGTCTTCAGTACTCTTTACAAGTGATTCAGATGAATCTCCTGTGAAATATAATATACATATCTTATATTATTCTTAATACCGTAATATGATAAGATTATTTAGATTTATTAAGTATTAAGTATTAAGATTAGATTTATTAAGTATTTAAATTACGTGGTTTTAGTAAACTGTCTTCGTAAGCTTTGGTCTGTTTGTCTGTTTTTTCTATGGTTTCTTCAATATTAACATCATCTTCTTCGTCACTATCTGTTATTTTGTTTCTCTTAGTTGGAGGTACTTCCACTGGCATTAAATCTTCTGGATCAATTGTACATTCCCAAATACACAATTGCCCGTTTCTTTGAAACATGTAATATTATTATTTAATGAAATATTTCCTTAAAATGAATTATATTCAAAATACATACTTGCTAATTGTAATCAAATCATAATTCTTCTTTTCAAAAAAGCATGCTACAATTCCATCAGAATGACCACCAAGATTAATGTATCTGAAGTTTGCATATTTGTCTAAACTGTAAATTTTTGTAGCCATATCTTCAGAACCTACAGCTAATAATTTTGAGTCATAAGACCAATTAATGAAAGTTGTGTCATCCATAGCTGCATGAAATACACGTTCCATAACAAATGGATTAAATTGACCTGTTTGCAAACCAGGTGCATTAAAAATAAATACTGAAAAAATAACAGTCGTCAGTATAATCTTAATCAATGCAAAAAAATTAATTAATTAACTACATGTAATGCTTATTACATGTTATACAAGAAATATACCATTATTTTCTTTACACACTGCAAAATGTTTACCATCTGGAGAAAATTTTACACATCTTACGAGTCGTTTAAACCTATATTTATGTATTGTCATTTTACTAATCATGCTAATTATATGAGCTTCACCCACTGAAAAAAAGTTTTCGAGTAAAATTATACCAAGATTTCAAGATTAACTTCAATCATGCAATATAATTTAGTCATACCTTCATTGATTGCAATTAATAATAGTCCATTAGGTGATAAATCTATGCTGGTATAATTATACTGACTCTCAATGTTTAATGTATTTGACTTGTTGCTGAAAATAATTTTCATAGAATGATGAGTCACATAAAAATTGTTAAATGAGTATTACACTTACTTCCTCAAATCATATATCGTTATCCGATTTCCCACTGGACTAATAACTGAAGATCCATCTGGAGAAAATATTAAATCCCCCTTACGATAAACTGCACCAAGTAGATTACTGAACTATAAGAAAAAGCAATGATTAAATATAAGTATATAGAAATTATAATTACAATTGTCTTTTATTAATCTTTCATAAATGAGCTGTGAGCATGTCTTTATTTCAAAAAACTTGCAAGTTATTATCATGCACGTCATATAAAAGACGTAATAAAATGTAGTGCACAATAATATTAGGTTAGGGACAACACACAGGAACAATTGTATCATCTATTCTACATATTTCAGACATGTATTTCAAAAATTACTTCACAAATCACGAATATATTTTTCTTACCTTATATGTAAACTTCATGATGTTTTAATGTACAAATACAAAATGTTTATTATAAATATTTCTCAGAGGCATGAAGCACATTGAGGCATGTTTAAATCAAGTGCACTACGCTGCGCTACAACGTGACTTCCGTTTGGCAAATCGGATCACATGTTAAGGGTGTTGGCTCAACATTTTAAAAACTTTCTACCAAATTTTATAACTTGTTGTAGGTATAATGATATAAGCAGTAATTAAATTATTATTTTCACAGAGTATTTCAATGTATGTATTTCTAGGGAAGTACTGTTAAATACGTAATGAGAATTTCTACAATTTCTATGAACTTTACATCAATTTATTTCATGCCTGCGGTACAAACGTCAACTTAAAATTTCATTTGCAAGATCGAAAATGTATTTTAATAAAATAAATTAAACGATATGGAAAAAAAAGAAAGACAAACTCTACACGTCAGGTTGCACGTGCAAATGCAAATCTTGTATAAAAGTTTTAACTGTTTCATCTATATTTAATTCTATACTTAACTATTTCATCAAATGTTCTAATTTTCTACTATAAACAGTTATAAAATCATTGCTAGCAATTAACTTGTCTAAAATGAAATTACGAGAATGTACATTTTTGTGTTTGAACGTAGTCACATGTTAGTGTGCATTTTGGCGTAATCTTCAAATGCACGAGAAACGTGAGAAATGCGAGACAAATTGAAGGAACAAGCGAGATTTCGAAGGTAATATTCGATATATTTCTAGGTGAACGAATATTTTAGAAATTGGCATAAAAGATAAATAAGTACAGGAAACGTGTGTCACGCGGCCTGTGAAGCAAAAGGTTGCGCGGCGAAGATGCGCGATGGCCGAGAGGAGAGCGTATAGCGAATCTGACGTCACTGACGTCAGACATAAAAGATGAAAGACGCAACTGGATTCGCTTGAAACGGTGTAGCCCGCAGTCGCGAGCCAATAGGAAGGGTATAGACATCACTGAGTTTCGGCAGCCTCTTCTTCTCTCACTCGTCACTCGTCACATGACCCGCACTCCTGTACGGTAGGCCATATTTGACAGTGGCACTAGTTTAGCGAAGTGAGTGCGTGAAGATCGCTCTTCATCCCGACGTTCGTGTTTCCGACAACCTGTAAATACTCGTGATCTATTTGACCTACGAGTCTTGAACGCATCAGAATGACCGACGATCAGAATAGTCCGATTTACGCGCCGTTCTTCGGAGTAATGGGCGCCGCCTCAGCCATTATATTTTCTGGTGAGTTTCAGTTGTTTGAAACTGTTCTAGAGACACGCTTGACCGAACAAAGCGCAACTTAATTTGTATCCTGTACGATGAAGCGTGTAACACGTTCCGAAATGAGAGAACAACCCGTAAATACGAATTCTAGCAATGGCAATTTTATCGTATGCACGCCATTTTCTTTCTTTTTTCAGTCAAACTGCATACAGTTTGAAAAAAAAAAAAGAAACACATTTTGATAGATTAATCAATTTTTCTTAGATAGTTGTAATGGTCCGCTAATGAATATCTAATAAGTTCCTCTATCGTTTGTCGAACGATACGACTTATCTAATTTTTTGATCGCTACTTAAATTCGTGGAAGAAATCAATGAAACTGAACATGTATCTCCGCGAGCTCATAAATATATTTTGATACCTTGTCAAATATGACACCCGGTGATGTATACATATATAATACAATAAGCAGTGATACAAGTGCGTTGTAATCGGGATCGTTACACGTTGAAAATGTCAAGGATAGGGATTCAATTTCGAAGCGCCATTTTTCTAGGCACGTAGATCTAGGATTTCGTAATGTTCCGTAAATGCAGTCCAACCAGCTTAATTTTATATTACGAGAGAAACATTCGTGCGCGACGTTTGGACGATCGGGGGATATTGGCTGCGTTATTTCGTAATGGTGACCTCGTTGAGTACTTTTTGAATAAAAGTCTGTATGTATCGGGTTGACAAGCACCGAAGTGCTCGACTAATGCACAAGATTTGTAGGAATCGATGGAAGATTCCACCAAATGTAATCGTCCATATCGTCGTTTATCGATTTCGATTTTAAATCCGAATGAAACATTCTTCTGATAATCTCTTATAATGAAGAAAGTGAGAGAGAAAGAGAGAATGTTCAAGACGGGCAAACTTAAACTTTGAAATGTCGTTGGTGGGTTCCTATCAAGGAAATCAATACGAATCCCTTTTCTCGTGTGCGCCAGTCTTGAATGAACGGCACACACGAGGAGAGCTTAACCTAATCAAAAGCATGAGGAGTTTGAAATGCACGAAAAACTTTCGTTCAGATTCCTATAGTTTCATTGTTACCTTTTAAAATTTTTATCTATGTGTGAACCAGTCAGAAATCAGACTGATTAACTGTCTTATCATCTTAGGACAATCTTTTACAAAAATCCACCGTCGCAATGATCAATTACATTGAGAAATTCTCAGAAAATGAAATTGATCGATTTGACTTCTGAGTGGATTTTGTATCTACGAATACGTATATATATATATATATATCCGTGTATATAATGTATATATATATATTAACTATATATATATACATTATATAACAAATTTTTCTTAGACTTCCATTGCCCAAAAACAAAAATTATTTTTTGTTTTTTTGGTGAAACAGAAGACTTGGAAAAAAAAAGGATTGTCTCGTTGTGCCACGCCCCCCTACTCACGGGATGGGACTTACATGATTATCATGTGACTGCCAACGTGAGAATCATGTGACTGTTTCTAGTCACGGCGGATATAATATAATTTGTTACAGCCATTACCTGAGATTCTCTTTTTTTTCCTTTTTCCATTGTAGAATCATAAAATTTCGTGAAGCATGTTGACGAAAATAGTCACAGTATCGATTAACTCCATAAAAATCGGGCCTGTAACCTTCTTGTTAGAGATCAATATTAAACGAGATCGATAGCTCTCAATAGAAAGAGAATGTCCTCAATGCACCACGGAGATCTGTCAAACGTTATTTGAAAAAAATATTGAAAATATTGGAATATTCGTATCCTATTATATCGTAATTTCAATCGTTTTATATTTATCAATTGTTTTTCGACAATTTTTATTTCATATTATGCTTAATACGTATGTACACATTTCCGTGGAGCGTACATACATGTATACAGATATAAAATTGTAATATATATACGTATATATATAATATAATATATAATTATAAAACATATATCAAAATATATTTATGTTATAAGTAAAATCCTCTATTTGTACATGTCTGAGTAATTATGCTTTACAATTATTAAATACTATGTTGAAACACATTCATTGAATAATATGAAATTTGAATAGTAATGCAGATGATCTATTACATTGATAAGTGTAAAATACCTATTTTTATGTGATACTTGTTTTATTCTCAGCTCTAGGAGCAGCGTATGGCACAGCAAAGTCAGGTACAGGAATTGCAGCCATGTCTGTTATGAGGCCAGAACTTATCATGAAATCTATAATTCCTGTCGTTATGGCTGGTATCATTGCCATTTATGGTCTTGTTGTAGCTGTTCTCATTGCTGGTGGTCTAGATCCAAAGGACTATACTCTTTACAAGTATGTTGTGTATATAACATTATTTAACTACCTTTAGTAGAATAATTTAGGTGAAGTAGTTGAATGTAACATGAAGTAATACATGTTACATTTATTCTTCATATATTGTATTTTAATACTGTGAGTATTGTATATGAAACATGATTAATGTTGTACTAACATTTAGTTTGATGTTTATCTTTTTTATAATAAGAAATTACAATTATTTGAATATCATTTTATCAGATACTACAAGCAATCATTTCAGAACAACATTAAACACGGTTTGACTATTATATGGCATGTTATAAGTATTTATTTACTATATATTAGGTTTCCACAAATTAATTATTCTAAAAAATTCTCACTAATGATCGTTTATATCTGTAGTCTCACTTAATCAATCAGCTTTAATTCAAAACTTTTCTGAAAATTCATCATAAACCGAAATAACAAATTGAATAAATCGCGTTTTAATTGCTTTCTCTAATACATTGCTATGTTTGAATTGTTAATTATGTGGAACGTAGAGACGAAATTTTAAAATAGATATTAATCAAAGACGATTTGCCGAAAAAAGGTCCATAGATCCCCCTTTCCCAAAAATGTCCTCAATTATTTTGCTTTACTGAATGTTAATATTTTCACGCATAACCAATAGTTACTATTTCTCCTTCGTAATTAACAAGTGACTTTTTTGATCTTTTTACTAGGGGTTTTGTTCATCTCGGTGCTGGTTTAGCCGTAGGTTTTTCTGGTCTAGCTGCTGGATTTGCCATTGGTATTGTTGGAGATGCAGGCGTAAGAGGTACTGCACAACAACCTCGCCTGTTTGTTGGTATGATCTTGATTCTAATCTTCGCAGAAGTATTGGGTCTCTATGGTCTCATCGTTGCTATTTACTTGTACACCAAGTAAACAGATTTTAGTAGCAGGAATGTAAAACTCGTCGCCTGCAACCAACAACGCTCCCCGACTATTAAAATATTACGACTTGTTTCGACATTTTACTTAAACATATGTTTTCCATACATACTCACATCAGCTCATCTAAGCATCCTTCTGTAATACTGTATTGAAACTGATATATTAGAGTCCAAGCATTTAATAAGTATATATTCATTACATAAATGACACGATTGTTAAAACAAAACAAAAAATGCTGCAAGCAAGTAACAAGAGTGCTGGAAATCTAATTGATTGACTAAATATTTTGAATTGAAAAATAAATAATTCAGTCTTGCAGGAAGAGGATGTATGTACAGAAGATACACAAAAAGCAACAGGCGACAGGGGATTATACTGAGGAAAGACCCCAAATATCCCATGTCAAACATTTCTCTTTCACTGTATAGTAATCATTTATAGTGTAGTTTGACATTGAATTATCAATTAAGGTAATCGGCTCTACTGAGTGTATAAAGAAAAAAAAACTGTTAACGATAAAAGAATATTTAGCACAATTACATATATTAAATGCGATTGAAGTGGCAGTATACTGATTGCAGATGTACGTTTTTTGCGACAAACATCTAAATAAAATTATATCTGAATTAAAAAGTGGGAGAAATATGCAAAATTGCGTCTAAGAAACAGCATAATATGTGATGATTGTACAAACTATATCTTGGACGAAAAAGGAAGAAAGAACATAGATATTGTACAATCAAAACTATAAGACACAAAGTATAGTATGTGGGATGAAATTTTAGAGAGAAAAATGAAATGAATGTGAGTAGATAATGAACAGATACATGATAGTATTAAGTCAATTCAGAGGCTGCTGGGCGTATCAGGAATTTACATTTATTATGGGTAATGATGTATGTTTTCAAGTACTTCTGGGTGACTGCAAAGGCCAGCGGTGATTCCCCTTTCTCAGCTATAAACATACTTATTTCATGTTTTATTAAAAGAATATATATATATATATATATATATGTACGCATACGTAGGTGTATATATATGTATATATATATATATATATGTACGCATACGTAGGTGTATATATATGTATATATATATATATATATATATGTACGCATACGTAGATATATATATATATATATATATATATATATATATATATATATATATATATATA